TCCATTTTATATTCCTCCCTTGGATTGAGACCGTTTCACTCATGTTTGTCCTCATAGTCATGTGTAGAACCTATTAATCCATGTTTGGGTAAGTATGGGTCCATCTAGTTCATCTTATACACTACAAGTGAGTTTCCACAATGTGGAGTCACAGAGGTACATTTCGGACTCCTTACCTCTTCCGGTTCCCAAATTTGGTCCATTTGATGTTCCTCCCTTGGATTGAGACCGTTTCACTCATGTTTGTCCTCATAGTATGTGGAGAACCTATTAATCCATGTTTGGGTAAGTATGGGTCCATCTAGTTCATCTTATACACTACAAGTGAGTTTCCACAATGTGGAGTCACAGAGGTACATTTCGGACTCCTTACCTCTTCCGGTTCCCAAATTTGGTCCATTTGATGTTCCTCCCTTGGATTGAGACCGTTTCACTCATGTTTGTCCTCATAGTCATGTGTAGAACCTATTAATCCATGTTTGGGTAAGTATGGGTCCATCTAGTTCATCTTATACACTACAAGTGAGTTTCCACAATGTGGAGTCACAGAGGTACATTTCGGACTCCTTACCTCTTCCGGTTCCCAAATTTGGTCCATTTGATGTTCCTCCCTTGGATTGAGACCGTTTCACTCATGTTTGTCCTCATAGTATGTGGAGAACCTATTAATCCATGTTTGGGTAAGTATGGGTCCATCTAGTTCATCTTATACACTACAAGTGAGTTTCCACAATGTGGAGTCACAGAGGTACATTTCGGACTCCTTACCTCTTCCGGTTCCCAAATTTGGTCCATTTGATGTTCCTCCCTTGGATTGAGACCGTTTCACTCATGTTTGTCCTCATAGTCATGTGTAGAACCTATTAATCCATGTTTGGGTAAGTATGGGTCCATCTAGTTCATCTTATACACTACAAGTGAGTTTCCTCAATGTGGAGTCACAGAGGTACATTTCGGACTCCTTACCTCTTCCGGTTCCCAAATTAGGTCCATTTGATGTTCCTCCCTTGGATTGAGACCGTTTCACTCATGTTTGTCCTCATAGTCATGTGGAGAACCTATTAATCCATGTTTGGGTAAGTATGGGTCCATCTAGTTCATCTTATACACTACAAGTGAGTTTCCACAATGTGGAGTCACAGAGGTACATTTCGGACTCCTTACCTCTTCCGGTTCCCAAATTAGGTCCATTTGATGTTCCTCCCTTGGATTGAGACCGTTTCACTCATGTTTGTCCTCATAGTCATGTGGAGAACCTATTAATCCATGTTTGGGTAAGTATGGGTCCATCTAGTTCATCTTATACACTACAAGTGAGTTTCCTCAATGTGGAGTCACAGAGGTACATTTCGGACTCCTTACCTCTTCCGGTTCCCAAATTTGGTCCATTTGATGTTCCTCCCTTGGATTGAGACCGTTTCACTCATGTTTGTCCTCATAGTCATGTGTAGAACCTATTAATCCATGTTTGGGTAAGTATGGGTCCATCTAGTTCATCTTATACACTACAAGTGAGTTTCCACAATGTGGAGTCACAGAGGTACATTTCGGACTCCTTACCTCTTCCGGTTCCCAAATTAGGTCCATTTGATGTTCCTCCCTTGGATTGAGACCGTTTCACTCATGTTTGTCCTCATAGTCATGTGGAGAACCTATTAATCCATGTTTGGGTAAGTATGGGTCCATCTAGTTCATCTTATACACTACAAGTGAGTTTCCACAATGTGGAGTCACAGAGGTACATTTCGGACTCCTTACCTCTTCCGGTTCCCAAATTTGGTCCATTTGATGTTCCTCCCTTGGATTGAGACCGTTTCACTCATGTTTGTCCTCATAGTCATGTGGAGAACCTATTAATCCATGTTTGGGTAAGTATGGGTCCATCTAGTTCATCTTATACACTACAAGTGAGTTTCCACAATGTGGAGTCACAGAGGTACATTTCGGACTCCTTACCTCTTCCGGTTCCCAAATTTGGTCCATTTGATGTTCCTCCCTTGGATTGAGACCGTTTCACTCATGTTTGTCCTCATAGTCATGTGTAGAACTATTAATCCATGTTTGGGTAAGTATGGGTCCATCTAGTTCATCTTATACACTACAAGTGAGTTTCCACAATGTGGAGTCACAGAGGTACATTTCGGACTCCTTACCTCTTCCGGTTCCCAAATTTGGTCCATTTGATGTTCCTCCCTTGGATTGAGACCGTTTCACTCATGTTTGTCCTCATAGTCATGTGTAGAACCTATTAATCCATGTTTGGGTAAGTATGGGTCCATCTAGTTCATCTTATACACTACAAGTGAGTTTCCACAATGTGGAGTCACAGAGGTACATTTCGGACTCCTTACCTCTTCCGGTTCCCAAATTTGGTCCATTTGATGTTCCTCCCTTGGATTGAGACCGTTTCACTCATGTTTGTCCTCATAGTCATGTGTAGAACCTATTAATCCATGTTTGGGTAAGTATGGGTCCATCTAGTTCATCTTATACACTACAAGTGAGTTTCCTCAATGTGGAGTCACAGAGGTACATTTCGGACTCCTTACCTCTTCCGGTTCCCAAATTTGGTCCATTTGATGTTCCTCCCTTGGATTGAGACCGTTTCACTCATGTTTGTCCTCATAGTCATGTGTAGAACTATTAATCCATGTTTGGGTAAGTATGGGTCCATCTAGTTCATCTTATACACTACAAGTGAGTTTCCTCAATGTGGAGTCACAGAGGTACATTTCGGACTCCTTACCTCTTCCGGTTCCCAAATTTGGTCCATTTGATGTTCCTCCCTTGGATTGAGACCGTTTCACTCATGTTTGTCCTCATAGTCATGTGTAGAACCTATTAATCCATGTTTGGGTAAGTATGGGTCCATCTAGTTCATCTTATACACTACAAGTGAGTTTCCACAATGTGGAGTCACAGAGGTACATTTCGGACTCCTTACCTCTTCCGGTTCCCAAATTTGGTCCATTTGATGTTCCTCCCTTGGATTGAGACCGTTTCACTCATGTTTGTCCTCATAGTATGTGTAGAACCTATTAATCCATGTTTGGGTAAGTATGGGTCCATCTAGTTCATCTTATACACTACAAGTGAGTTTCCACAATGTGGAGTCACAGAGGTACATTTCGGACTCCTTACCTCTTCCGGTTCCCAAATTTGGTCCATTTGATGTTCCTCCCTTGGATTGAGACCGTTTCACTCATCTTTGTCCTCTACCTGAAGGCCTGCCTCTTGCTCAGAATCGTGGGCCACGTGTGTTCAGCCAAAGCAATAGAAAGCACAAGAAGTTCAAACAACATCCTGAACATACACCACCACAGAATCACAGTTAAGGAACATTCATCAATCAAAAATAGAGTGCACATATAAACAAGGGAGATAAGCTTGAACCATACTTGTCATCGTGAACCGGCACACCCCATTCTTCATCATGGAAAACAGTATAGCACGGATCTAGCATTCTCATACCAAAAAGCTAGTCAATATAGAGATTTTGGAATTATTGTGTACATCCATATGTACTCAAGAGTAAAAAACTGACCGGAGTTTGGTGTCACCCAAGCACACCTCTTCTTAGTCTCTGGACCACTTGGTTGTGAATCCAAAGCACCATCAGAGACAACACTTCTTGGCTTGGCAGGGTAAGACTTACCTCTACTTCCAACACTGTACGACCGAATCAACCGACCTGTTGATGCTCGGCTCTGGAACGACTCCATCGAGGCATCAGAGGAAAATGATGCATTCATTGACAGGTTAGAATTTAGGATCTGCTCATGCCGTCGTAATGCAGAAGCTGCGTTAAGAGTGTTGTGCTTCTGAGAAGAAGAAGAAGACACAGTTTCAGCTGGTGAAGCATTCGATATGGATCTTTCAAGCTTTCTCAGCGATTTCGATACAGTTTTGAGTGTGATGAACGGAACAGGCTTGTTAGCAGCAGTCCCCAGAGTTGGCTTCTTCTCTGATTCAGCCCTATTCATGGAGTCAACTCTAGGAGCACTAGACATAGATTTCACCAAGAGCTTGACTCACAACAGCGTTCACGAGCCTCGGACCTGATTTCTGACTCTTGGCCGTATAAAGACTCGTTTTTTGTAACCCCCAACTTTGAATCAACAGAGAAACACCAGAAACATGCCATTCTTTTTCCTCACAAACAGCTCTGAGGAGCTCAGAGACATCATCGCCATCGAGAAGAAGCTCACAAAATAGCGTACCACTTCCATTTAGCCAGCTCTCGGCTGCTGATATAGCAGCTTAGATCCACAAAGCGAAGTTAACTCCTTGAACGAACCAATATCCTGTTGGAAATCACAGAAAAAACACACTCAGTTTTAGAAGCTACTACACTCTACCAAGTAAAAAAGAGCATTCCTTTAACAAAAAAAGTTCTTTTTTTTTCTGACCAAACTAAGATTAGGGTTTCAAAAACAAAAAACAGCACCTTGGGCAAGAACAACGAAAGCGATTCAAATAAGCCACATGGAGACCGACAGATACCAGCTTGCATTTGTGAATAAAAAAATGATAGAGACTAGAGAGAGAGGAAATGAGTACATTGACTTGAAATGTAAATCTCAGAACTTTGCACACCTAATTATTGGTTCCTCAAAGTGAGAACAAAGCTGAAAAATTTCCTGAAAATTCCCATGAGTTTCTTCTTTCTTTTTCTTCCCAACAAACTCGAGAAGAAAATGCAAAAAAAAAAAAAAAAAAAAAACGTTAGATTTACAATTAAAACGATTTGTCCATGGACAAGATACATTTAATCTAGTAACCAAACAAGACCCCCGAGCAAAAATAGAATTAAAAAACGGAAAGCAGTTCACTGAAGGGATTCATCAAAACGTCACGTAGTTGAATAAGTGGGTGTTAGTGACAGTATAAAAACCTCTCCAGTCTCCACCTCAATCTCCGATGCTCTCGCTTCAATATTATCCACCATGAGCTCATTTTCCTTTTCTTCTTCTCCAGTTTCCAAACTTCAGTGGCGCGCGAACTGTAACCATAAACCCAATCGCCCGATTGTTCATCTTCCTCTCTCTCTTCTCCATGGCAACAGCTATTCATGGAGATTATCTTGTAACCTTACTCAACCTGGTCTCGATTTCGAGGAAAGTGTGGAGAAAGATGAAATCCCTCAGTTCCTCGATTTCTCTGCAGAGGAGGAGCCGAAGGCGACGATTGCTGCTCCATCTACAATGCTGAGGAAGAAGAAAGCTGATGAAGAGAGCTTGGACGATAGATTCAAGCTCAGAAATGGAAAGGAGGTTTGCGTTACCTTTTATTTTCTCTTCTTCGTCACCATTTCTCTATGGTTTAAATGAAGGGTAGTGGATAACGGAGGAAAATTACTTCCGTAAATTCGATGAGATTGGTGTAGATTTGCTTGATTCTATGGGGAAATTTAGTATCTAGAAATGATTGAAGAAGCATAAATCGTTTGTGATTTGCAGGTTTTTGAGGAGAAGGCATATCTAGTGGGAGTGGAAAGAAAGGGTGATGGAGAATGTTTGTTTGATATAGAGGAATCACTTGAGGAGCTAGAACAGCTTGCGGATACTGCTGGGCTTATGGTTGTTGGTTCTACGTATCAGAAGTTAGTGATTCTACTTCTCTCTATGTATTGCTCTTGATGAGGCTGGATTCTAGGCCCCCTGAGATGCTAAAGTCAATGAATTTTTGATGGTTTACAACAGGCTAGCTTCCCCAAATCCCAGAACATACATTGGATCGGGAAAGGTCTCGGAGATAAAAAGCGCCATTCAAGCGTTGGACGCTGAGACCGTGATATTTGACGATGAACTTTCACCAGGGTAACGTTTCTATGTATTTTCTTAACATGTGCTCTTGAAGCCTCTTGCATACCTTAATATTAGCATGTGTTTCATTTTCTTATTACTCTGTATTTGAAATTTTAGGCAATTGCGTAATCTAGAAAAGGCCTTTGGTGGGGATGTACGAGTTTGTGACCGCACTGCTCTTATCTTGGACATTTTTAACCAAAGAGCTGCAACTCATGAAGCGGCCTTGCAGGTAAGATAAAGCATACATGATGACCGTTGTAAAAACGTTTATGTTTTCTCTTTTCAGAAACGATGTACAATATTGGCTCAATCTGGAATTGTTTCCAGGTTGCTCTAGCTCAAATGGAATACCAGTTACCACGGCTAACTAGAATGTGGACTCATCTTGAGCGTCAATCAGGTGGCCAAGTTAAGGGTATGGGAGAGAAACAAATTGAAGTTGATAAGCGTATCCTGCGTACTCAAGTAAGTGAAATATATATATTTCTGCAGTTATTAGCCTCTTTTGCTACTGCTCCTCGTTTTTCAAGAAATGGTGTGTTACACAGTTTGTGATGAGTGGGTATAGGTCCATTAAGATGGAAGTATATTCTGAAAGTTTTGATTTTGAATGGGCCAGATTGGAGTTCTCAAAAAGGAGTTGGAATCTGTTAGAAAGCACCGAAAGCAGTATAGGACCCGGCGTGTTGCTGTACCTGTTCCTGTGGTATCTTTGGTAAGTACACCATAGTATGTTAAACTCTTAGGAATTGATCAACACTTCCATTGTTTTATGTGAATGTTTTCTACCCATTCTGCTTTAGGTTGGTTACACAAACGCTGGAAAGAGTACACTTTTGAACCAATTGACTGGTGCTAATGTTCTCGCTGAAAATCGTTTGTTTGCAACCCTTGATCCAACTACAAGAAGGGTTCAGGTCAGTAGCTGATCTGCTGTCCTTTCCATTTCCGGGAGACGGTTGTTTTGTTTTATTATATGCTACTACAGAATACACAAGTCCCCAATACTCGCATTACTTAACGGATGACGTGTACTATGTGATGTGTATCTAAACCTACGCTGCCATCTTGAAACTTTTTTTCCAACCAAATTTTGTGTATCTAACGTGGTATGGAGTTCTGACATGAGAGCTCCTTTTTTGTCTCTTTTGGTCAGATGAAAAACGGGAAGGAGTTTCTTCTCACAGATACCGTTGGTTTTATCCAAAAGTTACCAACCACCCTGGTAAGGTCCTCCTAATGGCTAATACTCAACTAAAGTCTTAAACGGACATGTCCTCCATGTGGATGCATCTGTTTTGATAATATTCCCATGAGTGTCTCTTAGAATCAAAGTGTAGAAGGATTTGTGTCAACACGGTGAGTAACCAGCTAAAAATTGTCTTGCAGGTTGCTGCTTTCAGAGCAACACTCGAAGAGATATCAGAGTCGTCCCTTTTGGTGCATGTTGTTGACATCAGGTTAGATCCTGGTTAAAATTGGGTTAATCAATCATATGTCATAATTTCACCTTCTGATGGTATTATGTTTGTAAAATGTTTAGCCACCCACTGGCAAATCAACAAATAGAAGCTGTGGAAAAGGTCATGTCTGAACTCGATGTCTCATCAATCCCGAAATTGGTTGTGTGGAACAAGGTAACGTATAGTAGTAGAGACGGACATGATTGTATTTCTATTCAATCTCTTGCTCTATGAGCAAAATAACGCAGGAACAACTGTAATACTCTGTACCCCCTTGGTTAGGTTGATAGAGTGGATGATCCTCAAAAGGTCAAGCTGGAAGCAGAGGAAAACGGGGATGTAATTTGTATATCTGCCCTGACTGGAGAAGGACTAGACGAATTCTGCAATGCTGTTCATGAGAAGCTCAAGGTTTCATTTTCATCAATTTATTTTCTGGTTCATGATTGTGGCACATTAGAAATTTAGTTCTTAAAAAACTGTTACAGGATGCAATGGTTTGGGTTGAAGCCCTGTTGCCATTTGATAAAGGGGACCTTCTAAGCACTATACACAAGGTTGGAATGGTGAAAGAAACTGTGAGTAGATGAACAGCCATCTTAAGTCCTTTCCTTTTTATTTATTTTTCGGATAAGCCATATACATATGATTATCATGTCTTGTGTTTGTTGCGTATATAGGTATATACAGAGAACGGGACGCTTATAAGGGCACACGTTCCGCTTCGTTTTGCACAGCTGCTTAAACCGATGAGACACATGGTCAAAGATACGTTAGGGTGAGCCTGAATCATAGCAAGAACCTGAAGGCCTGTCTCTTGCTCAGTATCGTCGGCCACATGTGTTACGCCAAAGCACACGAAGTTCAAACAACCTCATGAACATACACCACCAAAGAATGACAGTAAGGAATATTCATCAAGCAAATAGAGCGTGGATATAAACAAGCTTAAACCCTACTTGACATCGTGAATTAGCACACTCCATTTTCCGAAATGTAAATGTTTTTTTCCTTTAGTGATAAATAACACCTTTTGTACAGAGAGCATACGTTTTGAAAACATGGAGTGCTATAACTATTTCAGTTAACCAAACATGGCTATGATTTACTTAAGTACCAAACCTAAAATACCAACAATCTCAAATTCAAGAGAATCTCAAAACTGAGGAAATTGATCGCTCCTGCAAGTGAATATGTACGACGTCGACTTTATTACCACCACAATTCTTAGTGCGGTGATTACCTAATTTTGGTAAGTATCAATGAATTGGGTTAAAAATTCCATAATTTGGGCTCCAATTATCCTTTGTTTAATCCACCTAAACCATTGTTCGGATGAGTAATGAAGCCTCTTAATTGTCTTAACAGCTACAGACCAAATGCTTTTTGTTTTCTCTGAAAAGTTGAGTTCTCATTACAAAGATGAAAATATTGTTTACTCTACTTTGCAAGCTGTGCAAACAAACACTTGCACGCCTACTAAATTAAGTTTGTAAATTTTGACTTCATCACCCACCAACTCTGCAGGACAGAAGCTTTCACCATATCCAGGCCTCCAAATGATAGTCCAAGGCTCATACCAAACGGAAATGGCACCTGCAATAGAAGAAGATCAGATAGGAAAGAGTTAACCATCCATAATTCAACAGTTGATACGGAGAAATTTTTGTTTTCCTTCTTTATTGTGAAAAGATCAACTATTGAAATGTATTGTTTAGGAGAATCAGTAAGTACCCTAATAGACCTCTGCCTTGCCATGTCCTCGGTGTGACAGACAAATCGACTTTTGCACCTTGCCTTATCACTCCAACAGAAACTGCTTGTCCCTGGTTAGACTGAGCTTCAGCGGCAAGCCTTTGCAACAGATTGTTACCACCCTCAACGTTGCCAAATTTCACAACCTGATCTCCAAGCTGTAATCCATCCTCTGCTGCTGGAGATGACTCGTTTATCTCATCAACCATTGCAAAGGGAATACTAGTAACCACATCCACATCCATGGCACGTGAAGTAACACTGAAGCCAGCTGTCTGCATGGGGGCAGATAAAGAAGTCACTTCACCTGACGAGACTGATTCTTCTGGACCTGCATCATTCTTTGTAATTACGTTGTGGATATGGTTTGAAAGTATAAATGTCTCATTGAACTAGTCATAGACTCGTAGCATAAGCAAAAGGACCAAAAACCAATCAAAGATTTCAACTTGAAGCTTTGGAGCTCTTTATCCAGTCATACCTGAATCTTTTTTGGATGTAGGCCTCGCTGAATGAAGAATTTGAATGTTCACGTTTATCTTCTCCGTGATCTCGCTGTGCTCATTCCTTAATTCTGTGTGGGTGCAGACAAAATGTTTTAGAGAAAGAAAGAAACCAACTCAAAGCGGTAGGGGTAGTGCAGATATTAACATTGATCCACTATATAAGCTACACATCCACACTATAGCACATGCTAAGAAACAGAATATAGAAAAATCAAGCTTGATTCCTTCCAATTTCATATCTAGCTAACAAAACCATGAATGAACCTCAAACCAATACAACAGCCCAACTACATATGCTCTCCACTCACTGAATCGTAATATCACTCTAACTTTGGACTAATTCAGCACAAGGCCAAAGACGTTTTCTCAAATTTCAAAGAAAAGGTAAAAAGGTTTAAGCACCAGCAAGACGATGCCTCGCAGCTCTCACCGCCGGAATGTCAATATCTTCCCGAGGGAATCCCTATCGTAAATAATAAAACAAAACGCGTAAAAAGAGAGAGCAAAATAACGAGATGTTTCAGTTAAGACTCAAGACTACAGTACCTCCGGGTCGACAAGATTGCCGGAGAGACCAGGACCGCCGGGATTGCAGAGACGTTCGACAATAGCATTCATTTCAGTCTCCATGGCCTTTCTCTTATCCATTAGAGCCATCGTCTCTGCTTTCAAATTCGCGCCAACCATCTTTAACTCTCTTCTCCTCTCCTCTCGCGTCTTCTCCAAGTCCGATCGATTTTTCGCCGATTGGAAGCGATGATGTGCTTTTACTTGGTACGGAGCATGTGGCAGTGATTGTATTTTGGGCTTTGTTAAAAAAACGCTCACTACCTGAAGTATTCTCAAGGCCCATTCTATAAGATCATAACCGTCCATTTATTACATCCAACGGATGTGTCCGCTTTAGTTCTTTGTTACACACTTCAACAGTTTAATACATATAGATAGCAGATCTAAAGCAATATGTGTATACATCAATGTAGTGAGATAGTTGTTATTACCAGTGCCGGCCCATTGTATTTCTGCGCCTAAAGCAAAAAAAAAAAAATTTGCCCACTGAAAAACACGTTTTTGAGAAAAAGGAGAAAAACTGTTTAGACAGGGACTCGAAACCAGGTTCCTGGGTACACTAACCAACACATGAACCACTACACTACAGTCACCAACTAGAAATTGGCGCCCCAAAACTATATATATTATTTGGCGCCTAAAGCACAATGCTTGTTGTGCTTTAGCCCAGGGCCGGCTCTGGTTATTACATAAAGTTTTGACGGTAAAATTATCCTTTAATCTTGATTTTGCTTATCAGCCACAATGATGGCTCTGTTGTCTTGGGGAGCGTTGAAGCTTGCCCTCAAATTGCAGTGTAGCTATTGCAGCTCTGCAGCTCAGTATTCAATCTCTTCTTTTCTTTGTCTTCTTCGTAACTATTCCATCATGCAAAGGTTTTCAATCGAATGATTGCAGCATTCACTTGAATACGTCTGACCTCAAGAGGTCATAAAATCCAAGAGTTGAATTTTTTTATGACTACCAATTGAACTCTGCTCAGAATTTGCTCGGAGATCGCTTTAATGTTTGCTAATTGGGATTCCTTGTAGAAGAAATACCGGATAGATATATTGGTGAGGCCTTGAGAATTCAAATAGCTAATATTTTTTTATAATAGATATTTTTGCTGACATATCATATATGAAACAAAAGACACCTAAAGAACTATGAGAAAAGAAAACTATGAACTTTAAATGTTATTATTATGAATGATTCGTAATTACATTTGAAAGTATTCAAATATAGAGTTCTATAGTTAGTCATAGTTACAGAATATATGAGAGCATGTATGTTATGAAGCTCCAACGTCTCATTCCCCATATTAACATACTTATTTTCAGGTTCGAGCTGTAGCTGTGATGAATACTTTGTGTTGTTATGCTGAGATTGGATGGGTTTTGATGAGTACTTATGACTTCTTTTTACTTCTAACATTGTTATTTTCTTAATCAACACTCATGTGATTTGTGTTTTGTATGAATTGGTTGATAAAACTAACGATGTTTTGAGATCAGACTGTTTAATCTAGCAAAGATATATGAACTCTGTCTACGTTTTCAACTAAGATAATGTAAATAAAATATTGAGTTGTGAATGAGCATGTTATCGTCTAATTATAACTCTATTAGCTTGCCGTATTACATCGTTATTTACATACATTTGGAGAAAATTAAGACAAACATGATATTTGCACCAAGTTAATTGAGATGAGATAATTGTCTTGGCCTAAGTGTGGCAGATTGGTCTGCTCCAAATTCCTGTGTGAAAATCTGACGTTTTGAAACAATATCTATTTATAAAAACAAACAAATGATGAATCCTGGTATAAATCTGTTTAGAAAAGAAGAAAGTTTACTATGATTGATTGTTAATAAATATAAAACTTTTATTTAAATAAATAAAATTTGTATAAAGTTTAAAAAAAAAATATTTGAAGGAGAGAGTGTTCCGGTTGTGAAGCAGAAGCCTTAAATTGATTCATTTTCATTTCTTGTATCTTCTGTCAAGAAAATTACTTTTGTGTTGAGCTAAGCCATATGAGCTTTGTTCCTGAATCCTGATCGTTTATGAGATCAGAGATCCAGTCAATATAAGAATGTGATCATACATTTGTAATCCTCTCTTCTTTACATCCAATCAAAGAGTTCTACATTTCTCAATCCTAACACACAATCAATCAGCATCTTCCGCAGTGAAATCAGGCTCAGGAGGCTTCTGCAGCTTCACCAAATCCCCAACCTTTGTGTTCCGGTTCCTGTGAACCGTCCGCATCGCATTAGCCGCAAACTTCGTCGCAAGAAACGCAGCTCCAATGCTGTACGATGATCCAGACGCTGTCGAGGCCGGCATTGCCTCGGCCTCTGCCTCTTCCATCTTCTTCCTCTTGCAGTACCGACGCCACGCAGCTTGGATAAAGCAAGCAGCCCAAGTCCTCCATTGGTGAGAGTAAAACCTGAACGTGTGCTGCACTTGCCTGCTATGCAGCCGCCGGAACTGGCTTGCAACAAACTTCAGCTCCTCTGAGGTCAGCGCAAAGGCCTCTACTTCTTTCAGAGCTTTCACTGTTCTGGTGGAAGACGGGAGATTCACACCTGATCTTGGATCCAACGCCCATGTCAGAAGCTCTTCCCCGCAGAACTCTCCTTCTTCCAGCAGACATCGGTTGAAGAAACCGCTCCTGCCTCCGTCGGTCGTCACACTCTCGAGGCGGCCACGTATTATGAATAGCATCTCGTCTAAAGGGTCTCCTTCCCGGACTAAGTAGGTGCTCTCTGTGAACAAGCATGGTTTCAGCCGCATACAGATCGCATCAAGAAGCTTGTCGTCCATGCTCTCAAACAATGGAACCTATAGTTATGGTGAAACAAAACGCCATTAGTCATAGGGATAAAGTTTGAAATGAAGAGCAGTGGGAGATGATCTTACCCTGCGGACTAAGGCCAGACAAAGATGCCGCTTGATGTCTCTCCGGAGATCCTTGGGGAGATTCTGAACAAGATACTCTTCATCAACGCCACGTGTCTCCAACCATTTGTACTGATCATAGCGTCTCACACGCTCCCTAAGATCTTGTGGTAACATCCTGTGATGCATCCATTGTTCTGAATCACGCCTCTTCACTCTCATTTCTTCTAGCCGGATGGTAAGAGATTGGAGATATGTCTGTCCCAAGATTGCAAATTTGTTGTTAGACAGTACTTACATTACTAATCCACAGCCCACAGGAACAAATATTAAGCATGATGATTCCACTGAAAAAGCTGAAGTCACCTGCATGTTTCCGATGAGAAGAGCAAAGAGAATCAACCCAGAGATGGCGAGAGCTATTGAAAATAAAATCTCCAACGGGTATGTGCTGGTTTCAAGCCCTTGTCCAAGTGTACTGTTGTGCAATTAATACAAAGGAAAAGAACTTTGAGAATTGGCAAGACCAAAGAGATAGTCTTTTCTTTACTTTTGAGTGATTTGTGAGGAGTTTAAGAAAGGTTACCTCAAGTTCTGAAGGCCCCACCACAAGCAATAACAATATTTCGTGATGAACTTTGGAGACGAGACAATGCCAGAGGATAAAGCCTGTGTGTAAATCCCAAAGTCAAATGGAGGATTAGGATCATCTTCTTCAGCACGACAGCTGGACTGAAGAACAGATTCTTTGGTCTTGTTCCAAACATTGTAGCCGTCCATGTTTTGATTGCCACAGTACAAGAAACCTGTGCTGCAAGAATCCTTTGCACCATTACAGGCCTCCTGCCAGCAAGCGTCGTTACGTTCTAAGGCTAAAAGGTACCAAAACGCTCCAACTATCTGCAACATAAGGCAACAGTAGCTCAATCAAAATAACACTTAGCAAAACTGTTTCTTCATAGCAAACTTGACACTTGTGATTCCATGCAACATCAATTAAGATAGGAAGGAATGTTGCATAGAACATCATAACAACTCAAGCATTGGACAAAAAGCAATGTAATTATCAAGAAGAAGAAGCTATGCACTTACATGACTTGCAAGCATGTATAAAAGCAGATAATAGGCGGCACCAGCCCAAGCAGTCTCTGCAAAGACACCAGCTGTCCTTTTCAGTTCCGATGTCAAGGGTAAGACACGTAGAAATCGCGGTATATACTGAACCAAAACAATGAAAAGCAAGGCCTGCTTTGTAGCCAATACATCCGACCCCCTTGAACTTTGCAAGAACCTCCAAACTACAATCTGCACATACACAAAGTGACTAATGTAAATCTCTGACAAGCGAGCTTCGAACAGAGATGATCTAAACTTATATAACCAACCTGAGGAGCAGGAAGTATTGAGAGAAAATCTATGATAAACCAATGACGCAAATATCTCTTTGCTATCTGCGCAGGATCAATCACGAGTTCACCTCTCCCAAAGACCCGAGAGGAGGGTGCAATATAAGCAGTCCTGAGCTGGAGAGCCATGTGAGCGAGGTAAAACACATCGATAACTGTCCGCAATGTACTTGCCGTTATAGCCAGACTCTGGTCAATGCCAAGGCACTTGAACTCACTGTTGATCACAGGGAGATAGAAGAAAAAAGGGTCCACGAACACTGAGAGAATACATGACATGACAAACAATTTGTTGCAAAGCAAAAGAGTTTTATCCTGAGGGTCAAATATCTTCTTCTCGGAGACTTTAAGGTCTTCTGGGAACACTGCTCGGTAAACACCGAAACCAAGTGAACGTCCTATCGATTTAAGCCCTTTGGAACCCTTTTGGATCCCTTTCTTGAAAGATCCAGATGTGTTGTTGCTTGCATGAATAGGATAAAGCGGTCCACTGATATTGGAGGAGTAGTTCTGTTGGCGGGATGCAGATGATGATGGCAACCAAGAGTCCAGATCATCCACCCTATTAAGCAAAAGATTGTTCACTTGAGGGCTTCAGAACAAGAACAAGAACAAGAACAGTATTGTTTAACAGATTCAATCTTTTGAATTTCAGGCTCTGTTTAAACAAAAAGATGCACTAACCTTGCAAAATTTTCTCGTTTGCCTGCCATGATAGGTAATAAGGAACCAGAGCTCAGTAGTCTTCAACAAAGCTTTTACAAATCACAATCACTTCCTCAGATCGATAAAGAAAGAACAGAGCTTTAACATACTGTTCTCGTGAAGGAAGCTGCATCATCCACAAACAAGAACAAAAAAAATCTACCATTAGATTTTTTCGGATGAATGTCACGGACTCTATATCAAATTAGACATGTCAGAAATGAATAATCACCTAATGAATGTTGTAATTAACAGATTTCTTTTTTTCTTCCAGAAATTGTGAGTAATAACATGCCAGGTTTCAAGGAGAATATTCTTCTGGTTGAAGAAACACTAACACTCACTAGGAAATGTTCCACAAGCGAAGTAACATCATCGACTGGTAAAAAAAACGAAAAATTGATGAAGGGATTATTGGCCCCGGCACAAAATAGAGAGACGAATTCAGAAAATAGAGCTCAGATACGGACTAAAACAAGAAAAATAATAGACATCAGCCCTACGAACAGAGGTAATAGCAACAGAACAGAAGCGAACCGAAGTGAACTTGCTAAAAAAATGAGAAAAGACATAGACTTACTTAAAGCTAATCCATGGCTTAGATGACTTCAAGCGTCTCGACGGTGAAGAAGAAGATATAACCCAATTCCGCAAGAAGAGGAAAGTACGAAGAAGGAGAGACGAAAATGAATATATAAAAAAAAAACGAACAGAGCACACAAGTGGTATCGCCTTTACCGAAAAAGAACAAAGTAAAGACAGTGAGTTAAATGACGATTTTGCCCTTGGCTATTGCAAGAAACTAGATTTTTTTACCTAAGCAAGCAAGCAGTGTGAACATCATACAATGTGAAATGGAGAATTTTGTACAAAGCTCTTCTAATATCAATCAAACAACCATCTCAGCTTCTTTGACACTGGAAGGGATCCCAACCTCAAGTCTCATCGTAGCTCTGTACTGTTCAGGTACAACAGCACCAGCCTGCGCACATATCTCCACAACAGCAGGTGCTTGCCCGTAGAAGCTTCGTAGCTCCCGCTGCAACGGCGGTCCATTCACATCAGGAACATGCCACACATACTTCGGTGGTATCAAGTCGTCAAGCACCGCAGACTGCCAACCATGCTGCCCATTCCTCTGCTGGTGCTTGAAGGCACCGCAGTTCTGTGCCTTGTGTCCCGTTGGTCCTACGTGGACCTCAGGACAGTAACCGCACACCCTGACTCTGTACATCCTCATCAGCTTTTTAGCTCCTGCTCTCATTTCTTCCCACGCTTGCAATGTCTCTTCGGCTAGAGAGACTGTTTCTTCTTCGTTAGCAAGGGGAGTTATCTCTGAGACGGGTAATTCGGTTAACAATGGCACTGGAGGAAGATGAGGCTCTGGATCAGGCAGCTCAGTCTCGTCTGCATCAACGAACTCGCTTTTGCCGATTCGGATGATTGGTTTTCTTCTCCTCTTCGTTGGGAATTCTGGGATTTCGACGCCGCCCTGGATGCAGAGCTCGACTATAGCGGGGACTCGTGGGACTGAGAATCTCTCATCGTGACGGATTCGCTTGCCGAGACGGTCATGGAGGTGATATGCTTCAAGAGGAACGATCACGTCTTCAATGACAGAGTTTGTCCACTCGTGAAGACCTTTCCTTAAGGAAGCATTTGGACCTTTACATGACTTAAATGGATGCCCGTAAGGTCCAACGTGGATCTCATTGCAATACCTAAAGAGACCAACCGAAACAACATCAAAAGGTCTATGGCAAAAAACTTTACACAAAGAAGACGAAGAAAGAGAATTAATTACCCACAAGCATTAACGCGTATTACTTTCATGAGGCGGTGGAGGTTGTTGATCAGTCTGATTCTTGCGTTGTACACTTTGTAGGCGAGAGGGACGAGGCTCTTGACGAGCATACCGTTTTTAGGAGGAGGCATGGGTCTCCTAGGTTTGTCTTTGTTGTTCTTGACTCTCTCCCTCGACGCTCGTCTCAGGTCCACGATGGGGACTGGGAAAGGTTTCTTCTCTCTTCTTGTGTATTGCTTAGGCGCGTCTGCGTTCTGAGGATGATCATTTCTCACAACAAAGGGGAGAGATCGACGCTCAAGTCTTGAATTTAAGTGAAGTCGAAACTCAATGCTACTTCCCTGCACAAATATATCCGTAAGGAACAGTAAGTACTTGACACTCCACTGGAAATTGGAGTTTACACACAAGTTCGGATTCGTGAACGAAACGAATTGGATGGTTTTGGCTACTAAAGGAAACTGACCCGAAGAGAAGGAGAGAGGCCGAAACTAGAAACCGGGTTGGGATTGAGAAATTGGCTCCTGGGTACGCTCTGAATAGCAAAAGGTACACTTTTTGGTGAGAAGCCCGAAAGTGTACCAGAATCTGCGCATGGGAAGAGAAAAGCAACGGAAACCAAAATCAATCACAATCTGACAATAAAAATGACTGATAATGAGCACTGAGGATGGTTCGAAACAGAGTGAAGAAGAAACTTACAGGAAATGGCTGAGTACGTTATCGACATCGTCGTCGACAACTGCAGGATTAACGCATTGGAAGATGGAGGATAAGGAAGAGAGTGGTCTCTGACTCGGAGACGAAGATAGCAAATGAAAATCGTGGACAAGCATAAGCTTAAACCAATGGGCCTTTAATTGGGAGAAAAACTGGTCACATTAGGCCCACTTAGATTAACATTTTGCTTCCAATGTAACCGAACCGGGTTTATAATGAAACCATTAAACCTTTTCCATTTGTTTTTCCAGTTTAAGATATATCTTGCTGAGTTGTTCAAAAACAAAAAAAAAAGATATATCTTGCTGATCTGAACCGAAATTATGGTCATACATAACTAAACCGAATATGACTCAGATTAAAACTTTATAAACCAATAAAACAAAGAAACCGGAAAATGGGAACCGAAAGCGGACCGAATTGGCTCAGAGGTAGTAACAAGACTAAACCAAAAGGCCGCCTAATGGAAGAAGAAGCAAACAAGCTGTTGCAATGGAACTCCATGCTCCGTTCAGGCGATGACCACTTCCCTTGGCTGTGATCTGAGCGTTTACAGGATGACTAACAGGAGTAGCCGTCACATTGCTTCTGTTGTGATTTGGAGACAAGACAACGACAACAAGCTTCTCTCCTCTCTGGCAATGTCCTTCTTCTCCACTTATGAAGTAGAAAGGACCTGATCGCTTTAGCTCTATCTTCGTGTGTCCATCTTTGTATCCTCTTATAGGCTCTGATCTGTCGCATCTCTCGTAATCTTTTTGGCTCACTTGTATCACTGAATCATTCTCCGCATTGTATTTCCACACTGTTCAAAGACATAAGAGTTTCTATATGAGAAACAAAAAACAGAGCAAACGAACCAAAGTCAAATACACTACTTACAGAGAGAATCTCCAACTTTGAATCTTGTTCTCTCCGACCAATGGTTTAGTGTCTCCCCTGCCTTAGATTCTGGAACCTTCCATGTGTTAGACTTGCCTCCCACCAGAATCTCCCTACCTTCACATGACAAACCAAATAACAGAAGCAAACAACACAACGTAAGTGAAGACATTGTGACTTCAATGATGTTATTTTCTTGTGTGTGTGATTAATTAGTCTATCAGTTGTATGAAACTGAAAATGATGAGAATTTTCCAAAAATAAATAGGAGAGAGTGTGGTCTCATGACTCTTGGATCCATCCAAATTCCTCCCATGAACCAAAACGTGACCATCAAAGTAAAAAACAAAGCTCGTGAAATGAAGAAGCTAAGCGTTACAGAGAAGTGTGTAAATTGTGACCAAACTAACTAACTAAACCTTTCACTATTTGCGTTTAGCCTCCATCAGCTGATGGGTCATAGATGCATAATGCATTGAAACACACTACAATCATCGATGTAAATGCAAAAAGTTATTGCCTTTTGGATACTTTAAAGGTTTTTTTGTTTCTTTCCTTTGTGATATTTAAAGCAGAGTAAATGGAATGCATGTGAGGATGAGATGGGAATTAAATATGGATTTTTGCATTAGAAGTAAATATTTTTTTTTTTCTAACTAAAACCCAGCACCAGTTTCCAGAAATCAAGGCAGAGTTTTCTACGCAATCCCTATATATTACTAGTAATAGCTTAAAAAGGCGAATCTTTTTAATCGTTTTTTCTCTTCCACCATCTGACTTCTCTTGACTTAATAAATTAAAGTCTTGAAATTACAGACGACAACGGAACACAAGAAACAAAGAGAAAGGTTTCTTCAAGATTTCTCCAACCAAAACCCATTAAAAAAAAAGGTGTTGTTGATAAGTGATAACATTAAAATTAAAAGACATAAAAGAAAGAAGAAAGGAAGTTGCTTTTTTCTTGACCCAACACCACAATTTAGTGCAGAAGTCATTTCCCACACTTACCCACTCTTTCCCTGCACAAGTCTGCTTCCATCTTCATCACTGCTGTCTCAACCCAACAACACTCACATCCAAAAAAAGCAAACTTTTTTATTTTTAATTTTCTTTTTCCTCTTCTCACAGCAACAACAGCAACAACATGATGTGTCCTTCTTTTCTGCTTCTTTGTCCTTCTCTGACTTCTCTTCTCCTCAGATTGGTATTAGATTACAACACGAAACCCAGAACCTTCCTCTCTCCTCTCATCATCTCTCTCTCTTCCTATTTACTTCTTTCATCTCTCTCTTTCTATTTACTTCCTCCTGTGATTCTGCAAGTACCCATCTTGTGTTCACCTAATGAATCGAACTCACCGAGATTTCACTCCCTCGAACCCTAATCCTTTTGAGGATCCGAAAGTCAGACTTAGGCATCATAGCCTTAAGCAAGACTACCAAGAATTGCATATGGTACCAACTCTTTTTTTCCTTTTCTTGAGTCTAGATCAAGTTGCAGTTTTTGGGTCTGGTCCAGTTTGTCTCTGGATCTAAGAATGTAATTTTGTCTAATGGATTTGCCTTCTTTTCACTCTGATCTGTTGTCTCAGCTGATCGCAAAACCCGGAAAAAAAAAGGATTAGCCTTTAATTTAATTGAAAAAAAAGTTGAATTGCTTTCTTAACAAAACATAAAGCTTCTTCTTTTTCTCATGTGTAGTTTTTTATGCAAATCCATCTTAGTACTAAACTAATCATAAGAGTGTTTATCTTAAACATAGTCTTAAGATGAGAACCTTGTTATGTCCATATTAACAAGGACTTTGTCTAATTTAGTGTTTTATTTAGCTTTAAGATCACTTGGTTCTGTTTTAGCTTATGTTAACACGTTTTGCTGTTTGTTGGATTACACAAGAATACTGAAGCTACGAGGAAAAAGCTGCAGATAATGCGAGAGAGAAAGGCAACACTAATGGCTGAAGTCCGGTATAGCTCTCTTACAATCCTTGACACTATATATCATTTTCAAGTCCTTGATGTTTTTTCTCAAGTGCTTATGTCCTTTGATCAGATTTCTGCGGCGGAGATACAGACATTTGAGACAAGACCAGCCACAAGACATCAAAAAGGTCAGAGGAAGATCAAATGATGGAAAGAAGAAGAACAAGACGCAAATCCGAATGGAAGTGTCTCCTAACAAGAGTAGTGTTGTGGAAACTAAGCATGTTACGCTTCCTGACTTAAACCAATCGGGAAGGGTTCAAGATGAGACCAAAACCAGTCCGAAGAAGAGAGTTCCATTGTTCGATCTAAATCAGATATCTGTAAGCACACACAACATCTTTCACTCTTACAGTGTCTTTACTCTTTCCAAACCCGTTTGACCTCTTAAAATTGATTACAGGGAGAAGAAGAGGAAGAAACAGAGGCAATGAACAATAATGATCGGAGAATAAGAGTAGTGGAAGAAAACAGTTCATGTAAGAGAATGAGCAGCAGCATCGAGATGCAGCAGAAAGAGATGAAGCTATCGTCTTGCAGGAATGGCGGAAATGGGTCAAATAAGAGGAAAATCTCATGGCAAGATCCTGTTTCAGCTCTCAGAGTCTAAAGAAAAAAATAACCTTTTTATTTTCTTCGTCAAAAGTCAAGTATCTTGTTGTAACATAGTTTTCACAAGACCGTTAATTTTAGATGCTTTTGTTTGATTATATCTTTCTCTCCGTTGAAAAATCGTTATCCAATTGTGGCTTGTAACTTGAAAAACCTTATCCTTTCTCTATTCTTGATGTGGCGTCTTACGAAAGTGACATTTGTATTCGGACATGTTGATAAGTTTAGAGATCAGGATTCCATAAACTTACCATCACACAAACTCTGTAACTGAATTATATTCTTATTGATAGAAAAGAAGGAACAATTGGTAAAACGGAAGAAGCAATCGGATCCCGCAGGACCTCCGATTCTTCTCCGGCGATCTGAAATCGCAAGACCTGAAAGTCTCTCTACACTTCACTAATTATTCGATAAACTTAATGAAACGACAAACTTAGCTATTTATACTAAGAGACAATCCACGTCACGTTCTATCCATTTCCTCATTCTTCGGCCAGCTGCTCATTTCCCATTTGATCCTTCGAAAGTATATCTGAGCCACCTTATCAATACCCCCTTCTTTAACAACCAGTTTGTCCTCAAGCTGAAAATCAGGATATTGAGCTGAAAACTCCTTCGCGTGAACCCACGTTCTCTCTGCTTCTGGATAACCCGACCACTTAATCAACAACTCCAAAGCGCCAACCTCAGAATAATGTAGAACAGTAGCAGCAGCAGTGGCATGCAAACCATCAACGACATTAGCAACAGAGGACTCCAGCAAGGTACCAACATCGTAAACTGACCCTCTAAGGACAAAGCTCTCATAATTGTTCTTCTTTGAAGCTAAGCACAACCAATCTGTTACTATGTGTCTCGCGGAGGTGCTTTTAAACTTGAATCTCCACGTTATTGCAACTCTGTAGACAATCAAAATTTGTCTGAAACATTTTGCTCATGAATGAGGATGATTGGACTCTCATGCTCACATTTCTGAGTCTTATAACATATGTGATAAGATAGGGAGAGATGCAACCTCTGGCTAGTTTCATTCCTTCTGCTACATTTAGATTGTTCACGAAAAGGTCCGCATCCGCAACAGTGACACTCACATATTCTGTCATAGCCCAAGCTAAGATGATCTTGCCATTTCGTAAGAGACTGTTACCTCTTTTCTTAGCCTCAGCTTCAATTATCTTTAGTTGCTTCTGTTCTTTATCACAATCCAGCCTTTGACACATGCCAATACTCTCTTCAGGAAAGTATATGTTCTCCTCCATGAAAATGAACAACGAATGATGCAGAAGAAGCTTGAACTCATCAGTAGATGACCCAGCCTGCAGAAACGCTTCTGTCCTACTCTTCTCATAGGTTCTCCAACCCACAGACTCAACAACAACAGTCAAGATAGTGTATGCGACCCAGGGCATTTACAAGATATAGCATAAATGAATACACATTCAACAGAATAAATATCATTTGGTGAGATATCACTTCCATCAACTATGTCTCGTGATTGCCAAATCAAACTGAATGAAATTGACAAGCTTACCTAAGCTACACTCCTAAGGTTGTAGAATAAGACAAAATTAATCATTTGTTATGCACTGCTGAATACCATAGCAGTCGATGATCCACATCTTCGCTTATCAAAGAACTTGACAAACACATCTCCAAAACCTTTTTTCGCTCTTCCATTATCGTTCTTCTTAGTTTTATCCTTCATTGGTTTTTTTCCGGCTGTCATAAATGCAACGGGTAAACTCGGACTATTAGTCCATCATTTGGAAGTGAATGATGCCAATAACTTCTAGATGCATTGTTCTAATGCATGAGTTCATCAAAATAAAACCCACCCTATTTCTAGAGATTTGTGGAGAAAAATGTAACTGGTAGCAAGTAACCACCGTAGTTCCTTTGCGAAAATTAAGTAAATGAGAAAATTGCATAATATTTTTAATTATTAAACTTGAGTTAATATATCGTCTTTCTACTACGGAATTTGGGCTCGCTATTACGAATACGAAATCAAACATGACATTATACAACTCTTTTTTAGCATTTTTTACAGTTCTCCAGTTGCATTTTTTTTTCAAATTTAAGGTTGTGAGACATGAGGAGAAAAATGTAGAACTGTTCACGGGTTGCTCTTCACTAATGACTTATGAAAAGTTGAAATTTTAAAAGATGGTAACTAATGTGGAGGAACTTAGACGAAGGATTAACTTTCATTTGACCGCAAGAACATTAGAGAATTGTGGAAACCAAGATTTAATACGGTGAAGAGATTCAATATTGAATTTGGAAACACTAATGGTCTTTATACCAAGAACCCACCAAAGATCAAAACAAAGCTTAAACAATCAAGTACACAACTTATGGCAATACAAGTTATGAGATACGCATTGAGTTGAAAGATGCACAAGCTTTAATCCCAATAACAGTAAATAAGTTTGCGGATAAAGTAAAACTAAGTAGAACGTCATCATCATTAAGGAGCTACTTGGTCGTGACTCGATTGAGCTTTGCGATTCCAAAAGATTGAGTCTCCTCCAGTCAAGCTGCAAAATACCAGATTATCATACTTGTGCCAACTAGATAACTTGCATGAAGAAGGAACAATACAGTGTCGACTCGAATTCAAGAAAAGCAAGAAGCAATCTTTTCAAAAGCTCTCTGATAACAATATAAAAAGATTCAGCCTTTTCCTAATGGCCTCTACTCACTCTTAAACACATATCAAAAACAACTATTACCCTTGAACAAGTAAAAAGAAGAAGTGACTCTAAACCGTTTCTAGAGAAAGGATAAGTGGCTTTTCGAGTCCTTACCTATATAAGATCATGGTTTAGGCTTGACATCGTAGACAGTTGTTCTCCATGGAAAGTAACCAACCTGAGCGTGGAAAGGTATAGGCTCACTTTGAGAAGCATCCTTGGCCTCGAATGTGATTGAGAAAATGTGTCCCCCTCCAATACTCCAATTAGACTTCACTGCTTTCACAAATTCAAGATTGTTTCCCTATAGGACAGAATCAAACATAAATACCTAGAGATTTGTTCTTGTGTATAATTAAAAGTAAGATTAGCTAACACAAACCTTATCAGTATTGTATTTATCAAGAGCCGTCTTCGATAATCGATTGATCAATTCTCCGTCTGTTTCCGGTTCGTCAGCAAAGTCGCTATCCTCGAATATGACAGGGCGAAAACCCACAATGCGGCCTACTCTCGAGCAGTCAAAATCGTACGCCTTTTTGAGATGACAAAAATATAATCAGATCAAAATCGAAATCAAATCAAGTGAAACCATACAAATCACAAATCATAACTTACCCCATGTTTTTTGAATTCTTCCTCGTACATTCGAACATCATCCGAATCGTAAGCCATGGAGTCGTCGCTAGACGTAGAGGAATCTTCGGTTTTTCCTCCTCGTCATCCAACTTTTGGCGTTTCGAATCTGGTTCCTCAGATATCTTGTCGACGATCGGCGGGTCCACAACGGAGGCGAAGATCTGCGGGTCCAAATCGTAGGCGACGGCATGCGGATCCATAACCGAGGAGAATACCCGAAACCCTAATTCTTGAGAGAAAAAGATCGTTCTTTTAATTGGGCTCTGCAAACTTGACGGCAGATTCCAAAACGTGAGCAAACAAATCACACAGTTTTGCTTTTTTTTATTTAACCGGTACTGAACTTTTTATTTTTCTTGGTTAACTTTCTTCTAATTTTTATGTTGACTTTTTATAGTTTAACCAATCAAAGTCACTAGAAAATATGCATCCCAATATCTAAATGGCCTAATAGTTTATCGCAAAGTTCGGCTTTCTTTTATTTTCGAGTTGGTTGGGCTCTGAAACCACTTGTATGTCCAAGTTATTTTGCTTTTCTAAAACAATATTGGTACTGTGGAAAAAAAAAAACACGTTTTAATCCGAAAAACCACGTCCGCAACAAATGTCAAAGTAGGAACAAACCCACGTTTTGAGTTGACAAGAAAATGTGCTTAGGACCCAACAAATGTCCAAGTAGAAGAATTTAGAGAAAAAAATGGACCGAAACAAAAGTCTTCCTAAACCGATGGTTCAAAAAGGGTAATAGACAACCATAGTTAACCAGTTCAAAGAGATGGTACACAAACCATCAAAGAAAAGCAAAGACGCCGAACTACCAAATCTAACGAATCTTCAAATCTGGAAAAGAAAAACAGCAAATATAAGGGGACATCAGAATTGGCAAACAGTTAATATGAGATATAAAATAGACTAATCAGTTGCACACACAAAAAAAAAAAAAATAGACAAATCAATTTCATAGAAATACCTCTGCATATCTTATCTTCACAAACAGAGAAGAGTCGTTGGGGTTTCTAGGACTGCACTGCCTGATAATTTTTCCATAACCGCCTTCACCCCATTCAGTTCCATATGAATTCTTCACAATCCAATAATGATCTCCGTTCTCTGTCGTCCCGTAACCAGTCAGCAATAGAGCATGACGGTTTATCAACTCTGGATCCTTCTTGCCAGCTTTCCCACGATAAATACCATTCTGTTAAATACACATAGCCAATAAAAGAATTCAGGACTCATTTTCTCTTAAATACACATATTCTGTTAATACAGAATTCATGACTCATTATCTGTTAAATACACATATTCTGTTAACAATAAAAGAATTCAGGACTTACCCCCTTGAAACGCAATAAGCTGGTGTAGGCTTTCATTTCGACCATCACCGGCCTTTGAGCTACCAATCTGATCAGGTCTTTCTCATTGATGTGCTTTTTCTTTATTCTTACGAGGCGTCTGATTCTGGTTACCTGATTAAAAATATGAAATTAAATGACTCGAAAGATTCTTCGATATATAAAGAGGAAAGAGAATACGCAATAAGTGGTCTAAACTCAACATAACGATTTTGAGGGATCAAAACAAGAGTCACCGACTGTGAAAAGAGACACTTACTTGTTCTGCCTCTGGCATCGCATGAGCACAGCCTTGTTTATCAATTCTGCCTGTGTAAGGACACAGGTCTTCATGAACTAGTCCTTGGTGCACAAGAAAATTTTCAACTCCTTCGTATCTTCTCATCGCTCCTTTCTCAATCTTGCTAACGTTATTGATCAGATGCTGAGCAGACAAGTTTGGATGTAGGTTCCTCATCCCCATACTGCGATTTCTTATATTGATCGTTGCTTCGATGTTCTCTCTTAGACAAACAGCCCAACACACTTCTGAAAACACACCAAAAGAAGAGTAAAGAATGAGAAGTCAAACAGTTATTTAAACCGATATTCAAAGTTTCAAACTCTGCAATTATTAATTACCTTTTGGTCCTTGCCTCGTCACTTCTTCTCTAAGAACGTCATCCTCGCCCCAATCTTTATGAATTGGAAAGTTTTCCGGAAGATCCTAGATAAAACAATAACTTCAGGTTTCTCTGTTTTTGTTAATGGAAATAAATCATTAATTAATCACACAAAACTTACTGTTGGCCATTTGTTATCATCTAGGTTTGTAATTGTTATTTTGCCCGTGCCTTTACTAGGTTTCTTCTTCTTTGATTTGACTTTACTAGAGCCTCCTCGGTCACCACCAGCACCGGTTTCTCCCTCTGAGGAATCACTGGTGGTCCCTTCAACACCAATTTCTTTTTCTTTATCAGATTCGGTGTCTCCATCATCGCCTGGACCAGCACCAACTTCTACTTCATCAGAAGAAGAAGAACTGCTGCTGATAGTTTGGACTTCAGCAATGGGCTCATCTGAAGGTACAAGCCTCCAGGCGGTAGAGATGAGAGGCTCATTGCAAAAGCCCACAGATATAACCGTGTGAAGATCCCAAATGAGTCCAAGACGAAGCCCAGTTTATATGAGAACGCTATCAGGCATACTATATAATCAAAAAAAGCAAATCATCATCAATAGACTCTCAAAGGCAATGACGAATACGAATTCCAGAATGCCTAACATTTATTTTGCGCAAAATAGTTCAGATATAGAGCAGAAGAACCAACAACCCATAAACAAAAAAGCAAATCGAGTGTCAAAGCAATGACTAAGACGAATTCCAGAAAACCCAACAGTGATTTTGCGCACAATACTTCAAATCTAGAGCTGAAGAACCAAAACCCAGACCCAGAAACAAAAAAGGCAAATCATCAATAAACAGAGCAACAAACCTAACAGTGATTTTGCGCGCAATATTTCAGATCTAGAGCAAAAGAACCAACAACCCAGAAACAACAAACGAGTTAGTCACCCATATTTCTTCATTCGGAAATATCCCACCTCGAATGTCATGCTTTTTCAAATAAATTTTCGAACTCGACATTATATATACAGCAAAAAAGCTCAGACTGCAAATGAAAAAAACTACTAGTACCTGGAGAACGAAGATGAACAAAGGAGGAACAGACGAGAAGCGCCAGAGAGTGGAAGAGAGAGATAGAGCGAGTGAAAGAGAAATCGCGAGAACTTTGGCGTAAGATGAGAATCAGAGATCAAGATCCTTCCATGGAAGCCGCTCAAGGTTTTTGGGGAGAGAGAATCAGGTTGGGAAAAGAAGCGCTTCTCGACTCCGACTCAGACGAGAAGCGCCAGAGAGTGGAAGAGAGAGAGAGAGTGAAAGAGAAATTGCGAGAACTTTGGCGTAAGAAGAGAATCAGAGATCAAGATCCTTCCATGGAAGCTGCTCAAGGTTTTTGGGGAGAGAGTGAGAGAGAATCAGGTTGAGATCTAGGGTTTTTACTTAATCAGACGAAATTTCTATTTCCGTGGAGAAAGACGTTTCTGCGACCAAATTCCTAGGTCCTAGGAGAGTGGACGAGTGGAGACTGGTTAATGAGCCAATAGTCTGGATTGTGGTGGGCCTTTTGCAAATATTGTATTCTCTAAGATAGTGATATTTTGTTCTCACTACCAATGTAACGTCTAACAATTCTATTTTTTAGAATACTATATACAGTTTAATTATCGATGACAGAAAGCATGTCTTTTTTTAATAAAAAGTCCTCATCCTTTTTATTAGGTCTTCAACTGGAATTGACAAACAAAAAAAGGTCTTCAACTAGAAAATTGCAAAAATAGAAAACATCAAAGTAAGTATTGGTTTTCACCAAAACAAAACAAGAAAGAAATAGGTGTTAATTAATAGTACGTATGTTCTCGATTTGGTGCAAATTAAATCATGGACGATATTCCTGTTTGTAAATCTTGGATGTCCGAATAATTAATATTAAAATTAAAAAAAAAGTAAAATTTAAAACCAACTTTGAATCATCGTACTATTTCACACCACTAAATATATTCATAAATGAAACTATGAAAAAAAAACCAACAAATAGAAAACCGTCGTTGAAAAACATGACTCCGAGTAATTTGTAATTCTTAAACTATGGATTAACTGTGTTGACTACAAAACTGTAATTTTTAATTCTTAAACTTGAGTCAAAACATGACTCAGAGTAATTTTCTACTATGGATTATGGAATATGGGGCTCGCAGTTTCGTATACGAAATCAAACATGATATGTTCTACAAAATAGCGCAAGTAAGACAACAGGTCAAAAGTCAAAGTATGATAAATACGCTAATGCAAGATTTTTGCGTTAAATTTCAGTATTTCACCAAACCTCTTATAAATTGTAAATTTTTGCAGTTAATTGTGTTGACTACAAAACTCTTTTTTTTGCATTTTTACAATCCTCCGGCAAGTATTTTGTGAAATACCCAAACACATAAAATAAATATCACTGTTACATTTGCAAAACCTCCTAATATTTGAAACTAGGAGGTGTTTCCAAAATTTAAGGTTGTGAAACATGAGGAGAAAAATGTTAGGACATAATTATTTTAGCCATTTATTTATTCAAGGTTCGCTCTTCACTTATGAAAATCTGAAATTTTAAAAGATTTTCCTACAACTAATTCGGGGGAACTTGACAAAGGAATCACCGAATCACTTCCTTTTGACCGCATGAACATTAGAGAATGGTGGAAACCACGATAAAATAATACAGCGAAGTCATTTGATTTTGAATTAGAAACACTTAGTTAACTGGCAATACATTGGTGTATCCACCAGAATTACCTTTCTCACAACGTTTTTTTTTTTTTGGTAAAAATGTTAAGATTTTATACCATTTTCTGAGTTTTACATGTTGCAAGCAACTTTCTCACAACGTTCTAGACAAGAAGACACCAAAAGATCGAAACGAGCTTAACAATCAATTACACAACTAATCGCAAAACAAGTTTAGAGATACACATGGCTTGAAAGATAGACAAGCTTATCCCAATAAATGTGTCAACTAGATAACGTGCATGGAGAAGGAACAATACAGTGAAACCGATTCTAGAGAATAGAGAAGAGAGAGAGGAAGGATCAATGACTTTCCGATCGAGTCCTTACCTATATAAGATCATGGTTTAGGCTTGACATCGTAGACAGTTGTTCTCCATGGAAAGTAACCAACCTGAGCGTGGAAAGGTATAGGCTCACTTTGAGAAGCATCCTTGGCCTCGAATGTGATTGAGAAAATGTGTCCCTCTCCAATACTCCAATTAGACTTCACTGCTTTCACAAATTCAAGATTGTTTCCCTATACATGTACAAAATCAAACATAAATACCTAGAGATTTGTTCTTGTGTATAATAACCACTAAGATTAGCTAACACAAACCTTATCAGTATTGTATTTATCAAGAGCCGTCTTCGATAATCGATTGATCAATTCTCCGTCTGTTTCCGGTTCGCAGCAAAGTCGCTTTCCTCGAATATGACAGGGCGATAACCCACAATGCGGCCTACTCTCGAGCAGTCAAAATCGTACGCCTTTTGAGATGACAAAAATAAGAAGCAAAACAAAAATCAAAAAATCGAAATCAAAGTGAAACCATACAAATCACAAATCATAACTTACCCCATGGCTTTTGAATTCTTCGTCGTACATTCGAACATCATCCGAATCGTAATCCGTGGAGTCGTCGCTAGACGAAGAGGGCATCTCCTCGCATTTTTCCTCCTCGTCATCCAACTTCGAGCGTTTCAAATCAAGTTCCTCAGATATCTTGTTGACGACAGGCGGATCCATAACCAAGGAGGATACTCAAAACCCTAATTCTTGTTTAATTCGTTCTTTGAAAATATTTATTTGCATTTGATTCATAACTATCGACGGCAGAAAAATTAAAAGAGCAAACAAATTATACGTTGCTATTTTGCTTTTTGTTTTTGTACCGAGATAAAATCATTCGTCCTAGAAAAGGTTATATAAACCAAGTATTTACCACTACTAGCACCACATTTTATATATTTTGTAACATTACTTTTTTTTTTTATCTATGTACACACAAATATTCAACATACTCGAGTTCTATAAGATCCTTGAAGAGATGCTCATTTACAATTTAATGCCAAAAAAAATAAATTAACTACTTTTTATTTGCAAAAATATATATATATACTCATAGTTCCTTCATATTTAAGGTTGTGAAACATAAGGAGAATAATGTAGGACATAATTATTTTAGCCATTTATTTATCCATCACTTATATAAAGTTGAAATTTGAAAAGATCTTCCTATGACTAATTCGGGGGAACTTGACAGAGGAATCACTTCCATTTGACCGCACGAACATTAGAGAATTGTGGAAACCAAGATAAAATAATACAGTGAAGTCATTTGATTTTGAATTAGAAACACTTAGTTAACTGGCCATACATTGGTGTATCCACCAGAATTACCTTTCTCACAACATTCTAAACAAGAAGACACCAAAAGATCCAAACGAAGCTTAACAATCAATTACACAACTTATCGCAATACAAGTTTAGAGATACACATGGCTTGAAAGATAGACAAGCTTATCCCAATAACTTGTGTCAACTAGATAACGTGCATGGAGAAGGAACAATACAGTTAAACCGATTCTAGAGAATAGAGAAGAGAGAGAGGAAGGATCAATGACTTGCAGATCGAGTCCTTACCTATCTAAGATCATGGTTTGGGCTTGACATCGTAGACAGTTGTTATCCATGGAAAGTAACCAACCCAAGCGTGGAAAGGTATAGGCTCACTTTGAGAAGCATCCTTGGCCTCGAATATGATTGAGAAAATGTGTCCCCCTTCAATACTCCAATTAGACTTCACTACTTTCACAAATTCAAGACTGTTTCCCTATAGGACATAATCAAACATAAATACCTAGAGATTTGTTCTTGTGTGTAATTAAAAGTAAGATTAGCTAACACAAACCTTATCAGTATTGTATTTATCAAGAGCCGTCTTCGATAACCGATTGATCAATTCTCCGTCTGTTTCCGGTTCGTCAGCTAAGTCGCTTTCCTCGAATATGACAGGGTAATGACCCACAATGCGGCCTACTCTCAAAGAGTCAAAATCGTACTCCTTTAGTTTTGAGATGACAAAAAATAAAGAAGCAAACAAAAGTCAAAAATCGAAATCAAAGTGAAACCATACAAATCAGAAATCATATTACCCCATGTCTTTTGAATTCTTCGTCGTACAATCGAACATCATCCGAATCGTAATCCGTGGAGTCGTCACTAGACGAAAAGGGCATCTCTTCACATTTTTCCTCCTCGTGATCCAACTTCGGGCGTTTCGAATCAGATTCATCGATCTTGTAAACCCCTATTTGAAGGTCGCGTGTTCGATCCACGCTCACCGCACCAATTGATAAGTTTAGAGATCAGGATTCCATAAACTTACCATCACACAAACTCTGTAACTGAATTATATTCTTATTGATAGAAAAGAAGGAACAATTGGTAAAACGGAAGAAGCAATCGGATCCCGCAGGACCTCCGATTCTTCTCCGGCGATCTGAAATCGCAAGACCTGAAAGTCTCTACACTTCACTAATTATTCGATAAACTTAATGAAACGACAAACTTAGCTATTTATACTAAGAGACAATCCACGTCACGTTCTATCCATTTCCTCATTCTTCGGCCAGCTGCTCATTTCCCATTTGATCCTTCGAAAGTATATCTGAGCCACCTTATCACATGTGTCGCGTTAATCAAATTTACGGAAGTGATCCAAAACTCCAGGAACAAGATCAACGGTCCAATGTATCGACACGTGTCTCTTACGTGTCTAAAGAGAGTGTCTAAAGAGACACGTTTCGTGTAAACTTTAAATTCTTACCGAACACTCGTTTCGTTTCAGAGTCAGAGATCGATCTTTGAGTTTGAGACGTAACAAGAACGAAAGAAAAAAAGAAACAATAATTTTTATGGAAGAAGAGGGATCTGATTGGGGAGGATTGGCTCCAGAGATACTAACCAACATCATTTCAAGGCTGACGATTCAGGAGCGATGGACGGGACCGATGTTCGTCCGAAAATCGTGGCTAAGCGTTTGCAGAGATCCGTATCTCTGGTCTACCTTCGATCTGGAGCCATGGTTCGAGTCATATCCTGAGTCGACTCGTTTGTGGTCCCCTGATTTCGAGCTGAAAATAGACTCAATGCTTCGATCAGTCGTTGACTGGAGCGACGGAGGCCTCACCGAGATCCGCGTCCGCCATTGCAGCGACCACGCGCTCTCTTACGCAGCCGATAGGTAATCTCTCAAAATCACTGGTGAATGATTGAGTTTGGAATTTACTCTTAGAATGGATTTTGAAGATTTTTTTGTTCTGATTTTTGGACATTTTCATAGATGCTCAAATCTTCAGGTTCTCGCAATTAGAAGCAGTCCTAACTTGACAGACGCATCAATGACGAAGATAGCCTTCCGTTGCAAGAGTCTAAAGGAACTCGACATCAGTTACTGTCACGAGATATCTCACGACACACTTGTGATGATTGGTAGGAACTGTCTCAATCTCAAGATCCTGAAACGCAACCTTATGGATTGGTCAGATACTTCTCGGCACATTGGCTTTGTTCCTACAGAGTACTTAGACGCTTGTCCTCAAGACGGAGACACAGAAGCTGACGCGATCGGTAAACACATGATCAATCTAGAGCGTTTGGAGATTCAGTTCTCTAGATTATCTGCCAAGGGGCTCGCTTCTGTATGCGAAGGTTGTCCGAAGCTAGAATACTTGGACTTGTTTGGGTGTGTGCATTTGTCAAGTCGTGACATAGCAAACAATGTGTCGAGGCTGAAGTTGGTCAAGGTGGTGAAGAAGCCAGATGTGTATGTGCCAAGGTCAGGGGATGTGGCTCAGATGGAGAGATACGGACATTGGAGACTCTATGACGAGAGATTTGATATACAAGCCATGAGGTTATGATTTTCATACACTACGCTATGGTCTGTAATTAAGCAGCCGCCTATAGTTTATGACTCTAGATTTGTTATGTGTGTTATATAGCAGCTGTGTTAAGCATCTTCTCTGGTTTCAATAATCTTGAAAAGATCAATTTTTTACACATAGAAGCTAACAATCTCAAGCATTCAAGTTGTAACCACTTGTAAGAAGTTTGTATACACAGAATAAAGGGGCATTACTATTTACTAGATCAATTCTTGAAGGGAAAGTAAAAAACGAAAGAAAAGAAAACCACTTTTGACAGTAAAAGCAACCCTAGAAAAGGAGGGAGAGCAGGAAAGAGGAGGCAAGGCAAGCAGTCATATGGGAAGAGCCTGACAAAAGCGTTGCAGAAGCAGATGTAGAGGTGCGAGGGCTGAATCTTCTTGCCCTTCTCCTTATGAAAACTCCAAGCTTCCTTGTTACATCATCATCATCACCGTGACCTGAACACAAAAGAAGGAACTGAGACAAGAACATGAGAAAGATGATCGATATGACGAGTGAGCGTCTTACGTCACCCATCTCTGCTCTTAAGATAAGATGAAGCTTTTGGCTTTCTGCTGTGATTATAAAGAAGCAAGGCGTAGTTGACGAAAAATATATTTGGTCTTGTAGAGTAGACATACATATTCTAATACAATTCGGTGGAAATGATTGAGAAACGAGGTGATAAGATAATATTATAGTGTCATGTGGAGCCAATCGCGGCTGAAAGATTTGACTAGCTGGAAAACTAAGTGTCCAATATCACAAAGCGATCTCATCAACCAAATGGTCAAAGCCAACCACGAGTCATCCAATTCTTTACCGTTCTCACTTTTTTCCACAATGATATAATTACCGAATCAACAATCCTTTTACCTTTAAGTCAAAGTCAAGCAACTTCTTATCTCTACACTATTCTTTGATAAGCTACGAATAAAAAGTGTTCCAGAATAAAATGTTCTTTAAGGGTAAATGCTAACCTGGAAAAGTATCATTCTGGGTAGGATATGATTTTGTCCAAAATGGATGGCTCCACCTCCCGGAAAGATGTGACCTGACCAACTCGTTTAGCTAATTCCCCAGTGACTCGGTCCATGTAAAGAATATACAACCCGTTTCTTTCTTCCAAAGCCGCCACTGCTTTCCTCGCATGGACTACTGATGCTACCCACTCCTCAAATACAGCTGCGGATCACACACAACACAACCAATCTCACTATCTCAGCATCATCAGTGATTATTTCTGTCAGAAACTATTAAAATCTGGAAAAAGGAGACGCAGCATGAAAAAAACAAAAAGATGGGATTTATTATCAGAGCCAGGTTTCGATCCTGGGACCTGTGGGTTATGGGCCCACCACGCTTCCGCTGCGCCACTCTGATTTGTTGTTAGTATCATGAATACAATAAATCTTTAATTTACCAGTTTCAAATGCTTCCTTTTCTGCCCAGGGTACCAAATAGTCACATATCAGGAACTCAATTAGCTGTATCCTGCAGATTCACAGGACAACATAATCAAGCTCAGCATCACATGTATAATAGAAAGACAGTGTCTCATTAGGGTTTGAAATACTTACAATATAAACATGCACTCATCCATCTCTGGGAATGATTCGTCAAATGGGTCCATAAAGAGTAGATTTTCAGCTAAAATGGATATTCTCTGAGAAATTGCAAACACTGCACGCTGTCCAATGTATGGTTCACTTCCTAGTTTACGGATCAAATGTTGGACATAAAACCCAACACTTGTTTTTAGATGTTTCCCCTCTGCAGCAGATTGTTAACAGACACACAAAGATTAGAAGTAGAATAAAAACCAGTTAGAATCATCAGTAAACTGCAAAAGTTACCATTTCCTTTAAACGGAGTGCACATTCTAGTGATCAACTGTGTAATCATGGAGCTGATAGATTCTTCAACAGATTCTAAGTTCCTCCCCATCAATAGTAGCTTCTCCAGCGACGCTTCAGTGTGCCAAAAAGAGTGCATTATTGAAAGAAGAGGAACAATAACACACGTTTGTTTCATAAAAGGAAAGTAACCTTACTAATAAGGAATTGCAGCTCAGGATTTCAAAGAATTACCTAATATGAAATCTACAGCCTGATGTGACCAATTGCTGAAATTAGAGGCCTGCAAGATATAAGAAGCGAGTTCAAATTTGTAAACCATCCAACCAGAAAAGAAAAGCTTAAGCAAGGCAGCCTAACATTGGAGTTTGCTTCGGACAGTTCCAGGAGAAAATCTATAGATATCCTTAGCTGCTCTGATATCTCGTCATATCCCGCTTCTGCAGTCAAAATTGCAAATCAAATAAGAAAAGAGTCCTTATTCTTTACTTCCTTCTCCCATATAAACAAATCTAAGTCATGTAATCATATGATATTGGATATGCAATAACGAAACTGACACAGGGAGATAATAGATGGTGAAAAAGGGCCAGGAAGACTCATAACAAAACCTGAGAGACGTAATCTTTGAGACGATCGATTTGATATCCTTCTGCCCCTTGTCCTTGCTAGGGACCAAATGACAACACACAAGCTGATAAGTTAAATCACAAATGTAACAAAAAGGATACAAACTAATGAACATGAAAAGGGAAACAGACCTAGTCTGAGAAATCTACGACGAAGGACATCGTTAAATCTCGGTTCAGAGGCCTCTCCAATCCGCCTACCGCTGAATTCTCCCAAGTTATCAAAGAAATAACACTTGCAAGAAGCACTCTCTGGGAATAAATCACAATGCTTAGCACCTAAATGACAGAAGATGCATTAATTAAAGACGAGTCAGTTCCTGAACATTTTGCAGCCTTTCCATTTTGAGAATCATTAAATACACATAAAACGATTTGACAAAGTTTAGAGAGACAGAAAAATACTTTCAGCATCCTTGAGATCTTCCTGAAGTCTGATAATCTCTCTCTTCCTCTCTTTAGCCTAATTTCAAAATCGAAAATCCCACTATGTTAGAAACTTAAACAGAAGCCGAGAGAGACAATTAATTTAGATTTCGATTTGACGAGCATGAATCGAAATGTAGCCCTAAAAATTCTAAAATCATGGTACTAGTGTTCACCACACAGAACCCAGATAGTCGCGGAGAGAAACTAAAAGGCACTTAAAACCCAAATATCGAGAAATCACCTTCTGCTTCCATCGAAGAGCATCGGTTTCAGAGGGAACATCACAACGGGACGTAGAAGAAGAAGACTGATGATTCTGGATCTTCGATCGTAGAAGAGAAACAGCGATCGCCAGTCTCAGCGACTCTTCCTTCTCCATCTGATCTGCTGCTTCAGTGACGCTCGTACTCATTTCGTTCAACTAAAAATTAAAAAGTTTTTCAATTTTCGGGATAATCATGAATTCCCGTCTCCTGCGCGGGAGATATTTTGTGACACTTTACAGAGGCCCAACAAGACCCACAAACTCTAGCGGTTGAATTCAATCAGGCCCATTAACGTTGATAAAGCGTGTGAGTTGATTTATTTTTTCACGTCAGCTAAGTACAAGCAAGACAATGATCAAAACATGTAAAAATATCTTTAACTGACAAGTTTATAGGAGTCTCAAGTCTGAACAACAATCAACTGAATATAACTGAGACCAAAAACAAAAATGCAAAGGCAAAAAGAAAAAAGAAGAAGTCACAGAAGAATACAAAAAAGGACATGAACACATCCCCACAACATACAAAGAAGTGGTGAGAATAATGTCACTAGGAAAATCTTAAAAGAAGCTCAAAACCCCAAGTTTTTTTACTATCTTTTGAGTTCTGAGACTCCTTCTTCCTTCCTTCAAGCTTACAACACATCATTCCATCGCAAAATCGTAAAGCATTGATTCCTTTACAGATTCCGACAAGCCTCAATGTCTGCAGCCTGTGAGGCCAGCACGGATTTCCCCTCCTCGCTTGACTCCACGATGCGTACAGCTGCATCAACCACCGCCTTTTGGAACCTATCGTCCTCCAGCTTCCCTACAATTTCTCTAACCAATTTGAAATCCACACCACCAGCCAGAATCAGCTTTCCTACAATCTCACCAAAGTTGTTTGGTGCCTTGGGGAGATCGATTCCAATGTCGTCGAGCATAGCACCGTACAGCGAGACCCCGGTTGCAAGATCCTTGGCTGTGACCACCTTCTTCAATAGCAGATACTCCAAGAGATCGGCGATTGGCTTAACAACGGGAGGGCTTTTCTCAAGTGACAGAGAGATTGCTTCCATCACAAACTCTGCATGATACGAAGGTGAACCAAGCTCCACTACACACTGCAGTGCTTCATCAAGGAGCTGGACACTGAAATATTCCTCAAGCAGCGACTTTGTTTTCCTCTTGAGCACTTCTTCGCTCAACTTGGGAGCAGCACTAGGCTGTGGTTTCTCAACCGGAACTGGTACAGCCACAGGTGCAGCTGGCTGAGCTGGTGCTGCCACGGTAACTGGGCGTGACGCTGAACCACTGCCTTGCAACAGGGCGCTTGTCTTACCGCTCAGAAACCCGCTGCTGCCTTGAGGTAAGAACTTCGTGTTCATTGAGGCCGACTTGCTCATTGCTGGAGAATGCTGAGGTCCTGGCCCGTCACGTCTAGACATTGACCTTGTCCTCGGCACCTCCCAGTTATCATTGTCTGCCCCAGGCATCCCGGGCATCCTTCGAATACCAGGCATACCAGGCATCAAGCCACCCGCACCAGGTCGGCCACCAGGGTAGACAGGGCCTGGACTCACAGGTCCACCACCAGAAGCCATAATACCCTTTCTCATATTTGCAGTGGCACCTGGTCGGAGACCGAGGTTCTTCTCTGCCTCAGAGTGAATCTCAGTTATAGTTTTTGCTTTCATCTGCACAAGAAATGTAAATACAACATCAAAAAACAAGTTCAACTTTGTAACTCATTAAAACTGAGGTGTTGTGAGATTTTTCAAGGCTAGGTTTACCTCTTCCCGCCTGGGAACCCAGCCATCGGAGCGCAAGTCGATGATATTCTGAACCATGAATCTCAAACGCAGTTCCAGCTGAGGGTTCTTTGACAGATCCTGAAGGCGTCTGAAATATGCATCGTTGATGCGTTTTGACTTCATGCTTCCATCAAGTTGTTTGCCAATAGTCTTGAAGAATTGACAAATAGCTTCGACATTTTCCTCTGCTGGACACGCTTTTTCATCGGCACCAAGAAGCTCCTGTGATCAGAGCAATATCATTTACGTTAATACAGATAGCAAAGCCAAGATTTCCTGAGAAAATGTGTGAACTTATAGGTGTTAACCTGAACAATGTGATGAACAATCTTTTCTGGAACCATCTTCTGCTTTAGAAGCTCACCGATCAAACGAATGTTTCCTAGAGTCTTGAGCTTCAACAACTTTTCTTTGTCCTTCCGCTCAGCCTCCTGTTCTGGAGCACTCATCTGTTTAAGCTCCTCCCTCAAATTGGCAGCGCCCTCAAACGCCTCTTGACAGATATTCAGCAGAACCCTCTTAAATGTGATCTCCTTTTCCCCAGGCTCTTCAGGTGGGAAGGTGGGCAGCTTGTCGTTGATGTCAGAGCACAGTTCAGCGTACATGGGGCAAAAGGTTGGCTCAAGGACAGCTTTGTCAAAAATAAGGGTTATCACACCCTACCAAATGAAAGAAAAAAAAAAACACTCGTTAGCTACATGAACAGCCTAGATGTGGTGCCAAAAAAAGACTTCATCTATGCTTTGAGAGTACACCTTGAGGATATCAGCAGATTTGATGCCAGACTCAATAAGCTGGCCCTTGAGAAGATCATACTTCTCAGGGGTTAGCTTGTTCAGTATACTGGACAAGAAAAGTATATCTTTGTCAGTGATCTAAATATTTCATAGCAGTAAAGAGCATCAATAACTGTCTCAAAGGCATAATTACCCTTTCACAGTCTTGAGAACACGATCATTTTCAGAAAGTTCTCCTCTTCTAGCTGACCAAGGTACTTCAGCCTTGACGAGGACAGGAGGTGGTCCACCCTGGTTTCACACGATATACAGGCAGAGAAGAAATAAGAAATCATGCCAAAATGTAACGGACTAAGAAGAGGGGAAAAAAGAGACATTAATTTTTATTGATTCAATTACCCCTTGGTTGGATGATTGCACCCTTGAAAACTGGGAGCCTTGTTGGCTTGCTTCAACATACCTCTTGGATTCTTTAACTTCACGGATATTATCCCAAGACCTTTCCTCCCCAGAGGGTGGTGGTTGAGCAGCAGAACGGCTGCGCCAATCACGAGAGTCTGGCTCAGTGAAGCGACTTGCGGATTGAACCGGAGCCTGGAGTATTATTAAGATAATAATAACAGATCTGTGTTAAAACTCGTGAGACTTCATGTTAGTGGAAACAATGCAAAAAGTGATGTTACAACGAAACTATACCAAATTGCTCACGACGCTTTCCCCACGTGCCCAAGTCTCTTCCTCACCAAATAGTTCTGACTCAGTTTCCCGTTTGACTTTCAGAATCTCTTCAGAGAGTTGAGAAGTCTGTACATATACAGAGACATCAGATAGAGAAGAAACAAAAAACGAAAAAAGCACAAACAAGACCGGTCTTGATTCTAGATTTTCTTAATTAAGATAATCACCTCTTTAAGTTCCAGGAGCTGATCACGAGTGTACTTCACACGTTCACGGCCATCGAAACGCGAGTCACCACCCTGTAACAAAAAACATAACCACACGATGAATCTTCATTAACTAAAACTCAATACACAAAAACATATAAGAAGTGACAATGAAACATGACTTCTCAGTACAAAAATAAGTGAGGAATTATTCGTGATAAGCAAGGCTAAAGATGATTGATCTAACATAAAAGTAAAGTGAAAGAAATGTGAATAGGTCCTTTATGAGCAAATAGCAGCTGATAAAATGCCCACCTAAAAGCCTACATATCGATTTACGTCCATATTTACAGCAGCTACACATACTTGTGTGCGCCGCTAAGAATCAGGACATATGATTCTATGTTGTCGGAATCTAACATAAGCTCAACCGGAAGTTCATAACACAAGGCAGTGAAAACTCGCAAATTAAAAAAAACTTTCAGCTAATTCAGACATTTGAGTGAATCAAAATCACCAAAATTGTAATTCAAACCAACAAGCTGCTGCTAGCTATAGATTTAGAGTGACAGAAATCCAGAGAAGCTCAGGCTAAGAAACGAGAGATCAACAAAACCATATCCAGCTAGGAAGAAAGAAAGAGAAACTAAATCCGAGGAAGAAGAATTTGTAGATCCAAATATAGAAGGGAGCTTGGGGGCCCAGAAATGAGGGTACCTTGAAGGGAAAAGCAGGAGCACCGCCATGAGGACGAAGGAGAGGTAGATCGGAAGAGGAAAGAGAGCCAAAAGAGAGCGCCGAAGAAGAAGAAGAGGAACCAAAGAGTCTGTTTCCTCGACCGCCACCAGGTCTCAAGCTCAGCACCGTCTGATCGCCTTGCTGCATACCTCGATCTAAACACCCGAGATCGAATCGAATCTCCAACAAACAGAAAAACGACGAGAGAACACAGGAAGAGGTAACTAGATAGCTTTTTCCAGCGACGATGAATCGCTGAATCCGAGATTCGGATTTGAGCGTCTTCTCTCTTCTGCCGTTAGCGAAGAAGAGAAGAGAAAATGATAGAGGAGAAGGAAAAAGTCGAGAAGGAGATACAATCCCTTCTCTTTATTAGGGTTATTCCTCTCTCTTTTTTTTTTCCAGAACCAGACAGAGTTATAGCTTCTCCGTTTTTGTCCGTAAAATTACAGTTACGTCCTTTGCTTTTGTTTCTTTGTTCCATCGTCCGATCGGTTTTTCCGTCATTATGTGCCTACTTCTAAGCTTTATTGGTAAAAAAGTCTTCCTCGTCCACAGCACAATGTGAAAAGACAATGGAGCTTCTTGTAGACCTACAAGAACACTGTGCTCTCGACTGGTCCGAGCTGTTTCAGTTTCTGGTTTAGCTCATTTTCTAATTGAATAGAGGAAGCGAGTGGAAACATGTGAGCTATCATGAAAGATTACGGGAAGCTACTTCACTCAAAACTAATCTTGCAAAGTTGCAATCACACTTCCACATTGTCAATATCTTTACTTACAACAAAATTGTCTGTAACAACTAAAGAAGCATTGACACAAGCAGAGACATAAAGAAACAGCATCAATGTTCTACGTCCTTGTCCAAAGCAGAGGTTGTTAAAATCCTTCATGAGATTGAGAAGTCGGTGGGCTCTGCAATGTTGACATCCTCAAACTCGTTATCATCTGCAGAAAGAAGAACGAGACGCAATCATCATGCCATTCACAGCTTTATAGATCCAAAATGCAATACAGTAAATTCGACAAGGCTAAGAATTGATGAGATAGAAATAGGAATCACATTCAGCTATATCTACCACAAAGTTTTCAGAGACTGCAACGCTTCATAGACAGAAGAAACATATACATGATAAAAAAGAAAAAAATTAAGTGTGATAACTAGCTAACCAAAGATGCATTATCCGCTATAACAAGTCAACGTATATACCAACAAAGAGTTGAATTCATCAGAAGGAGCAAAGGGATTAGAGGAATAACCTTTCCTCAAAGTCAGAGCCACAACTGCATCATTCTCAACCTGAAAGAATATGATACACAAACGGTAGCAGAAGGTAGTTCTTGTTAAAAACTTGACAAAGAAATGTTATTTAACTCCCCAACATTAGGTAGAAAGGTAAAAATAATGAGACAATCAAACGATTGATACCTTCTGCTCAGCTAACGATTTCGAATCCTCTAATACTTCTTCGGTAGACATTAAGACCAGACGCTGATTGCTAACTGGTTGCTCAATGAGGGCAAACAGTTTCTGCTTGACATCCAAAACAGTCTCTGTTGGCTCGCACTGGATAAAGTAAGTGGTCTTCATGCGCTTCACACGAATATACATGGCCTGCAAACAATATTACACAAGACTAATCAATCCTACAACCAACATGGCCAGATCCAAATTCTGCGATTGAATATAAAGGAAAGTCCACTAAACTAACTCCAACGAAGTAGAATTATATATTGTAATACCATGGCAAGACAAAGATGAACAATTTCCTCTTCTTCCGCTGCCGATTCCGAAGACTTTCCGATAAAAATCTGTTTCCAAGCTGCCAAGCAAAGATAATCAGACTTTCAGAAAATTGACGACCTCACAAGTCGCCAATTTATCCAAACAGATGTGCTCGTATCCTCCTAAAAAAAAAAAAATCTCCTTTTGGATATTTTCTAAAATTACCGATTCAGATAAAATCGAATGACTAGGATCAATTAAGGATGAATACTGACCACAAGAATGGATAATCTGCGGAAGTTTGCTTCCTTTATTTCGATCTGTCAAGGTTAAGCTCTCACTCAGCTATAGAAGGTAAGGAAGAAGAAAAAAAAAGAGCCAGTTTTTCTCCGCAAGGCTTTTTGTGGCTTGTTTGGCTTCAGGATTAAGGCTATCTTCGATTACGCGTCGTGCTAAAAACCCGATAAACAGACGATGGTTTTGTACTCGTTCCAAAGTCCCACATCGCTAACAAAATAAGTTTGGAAGAAGCGATAAGTGGTATAAAAGAAGCAGCCACGCCTCTGAACATCTCATACCTTTCTCGGCCTTTTGGCTAAGATCAAGTGTAGTATCTGTTCTTATCAGTTTAATATCTGATATGTGAGCCATCGGCCCACACGATATTAACTCTATTTTTTAAGGGAGAAAGCCCACTAAAGTAGCTTGCTATCTGAGCTTTCGCGAGTCGCCCATGCGTTGCACTATTGCACGGGCCCGGCTCAACCCGCCAATTCTAAAGTCCAATTTTTTCAGTATCAGTGTGGGCCAAATTAACCAATTGGGGTCGGATCATTCGCACGTTAATCTGTTGAATTATTAAGTCCAATTCTAAAATTTGGCTAATGAGTTGTGTCTGTCTCGAGTAAAATACTAAAATCCTAATGAAAAAACAATTCCCCATTTCCGATGATTTCTCCAGTCGTTTGTTTCCCGAAGCCCGTCGCTGGTTTCCCGCCGGAGTGGACAGATAGTACTTGGAATCTTCGCTCTCTCTCTCATGTTCCATATTCTTCACGAAATGGCTTTCGATTCTCCCGTCGGACACGAGGAAGAAGAATTCTCATGTGTTCTGGTTCGAAATTGTCGTTTCCTCTATAACTTAATCCTACTCTGCGTCTCTCTCTACTTCATGGTTTCACTCTTGTAGCTTCCTTAGTTTTGTCGTTTTAATTGCGATTAGTAATGCATTTGTTAAAGCGTCTGTGATGTCGTTAGCCACTGTAGATTATCCTGGAAAGAGATCAATTTTATTGGTGGTTAAAATTCCCCAAATTTGAAAGACATTTTGCAAGGCTTTGAGTAATCTGAATTGTTGTTCTGTATAGATTCAAGCTCTCACTCGTGGAATGTTCCTGTTCTATCTACCAATGAGGTACTTTTGGTTTTCTACGTTTCCCATAGTGTTTTTGCCCACTTGGGTCATTTGTTAGTTATCTCATTACGTTTACAAACACTGATTGATTTCGTTTAAGCAAACTCTGTTTGGTGTGAAAAGGTTGTTGAGAGGCTAAAACTAGCAAGAGAAGGACAAGAAGAATTCATGGCCATGTACTCAAGTGTTGTTAACGGAATCACAACCGATCCAGCAGCAATGGTTCTTCCACTGGACGATCACATGGTTCACCGTGGTCATGGAGTCTTTGACACCGCCATGATCATTAACGGGTAAGTCACTTTCGAACCACATCTCACTCTTCCAAAAACCTTAACTAGTCTTATTTGCTCAACCATTCTCAGCTTTGCAACCAAGCAGATACCTTTACGAACTGGATCAGCACCTTGACCGTATCCTACGATCTGCATCCATGGCTAAGATCCAACCTCCATTCGACAGGGAAACAATAAAAAAGATTCTCATCCAAACCGTGAGCGTTTCTGGATGTAAAGACGGATCTCTAAGATACTGGCTCTCTTCAGGACCAGGGGATTTCCTCCTATCTCCATCTAAGTGTCTTGGATCAGCTCTCTACGCCATTGTTATCCAAAAGGACTTCACCGTTACCACAACAGGTGTCAAGGTAGTGACATCTTCCGTCCCTATAAAGCCTCCAGAGTTTGCTACGGTGAAAAGCGTCAACTACCTCCCAAACGCGCTCTCGCAAATGGAGGCTGACGACAAAGGAGCTTATGCGGGTATTTGGGTGGATAACGATGGGTTTGTTGCGGAAGGTCCTAACATGAATGTGGCGTTTGTTGTTAACGGTGGTAAGGAGCTTGTGATGCCGAGGTTTGATAATGTTTTGAGTGGATGTACGGCGAAGAGGACTCTTACACTCGCTGAAGAGCTTGTAAGCAAAGGGATGCTTGAAAGTGTGAAAGTTATGGATGTGACTGTTGAAGATGGGAAGAAAGCTGATGAGATGATGCTTCTTGGGAGTGGAGTTCTCGTTCTACCTGTGGTTCAGTGGGATGAAGAATTTATTGGTGATGGTAAAGATTGATCATTATAAACATCTAAAGATGTTTTACATTGATGGAGAGAAGTGGATGATTTTAAGATGTGTTTCTTGTTTTGTTTTGACTCAGGAAAAGAAGGACCTGTAGCGAAGGCGCTTCTGGATCTGTTGCTTGAAGATATGAGCTCTGGTCCACCTTCTGTTCGTGTTCCTGTTCCGTATTGAGCCAATGCATCAAAGACAATAAGATATGTGGTTTCTTTTTAGTGATATGCTTTTACTGTTACTTGGTAGTTGAAGATGTATTATTTAATGTCTATAACATTTTGGTGATGGTAAAGTTTAGCGTATAAAAGCTTCACTCTTTGTTTACATTTTACCATTTTTGAAGTTCATGTATCTTTTCTTGTTAGTCACATCCTTTGTTCTTCTACCATTCTGCACCATGCATCAAGCATCACTCAAATCTACTTGAATCTGTTTCAGTTTTATGAGAGCTATTTTATTGTTTGCAAATCGTACGTTTTTATTCCAAGCTGAAGCATGACATAGAACAAGAACATAGTTGGTCAACATTTGTTTCTTTTGTAGAAGAAGAGACTGGCTCATATCCAAACAAAAATTGTCTCGTGGTTGCGTCTACTTTCCAAACTCAATTTTCTTTTTCTTTTTGTGCCTCTCTCTCCAATTTTCTCCAAGGCTCAAAATGCTATGCCTTTCTCCAGATTCTTCTTCTTCTTCGTTCACTAAGCTGATTAAATAACTGTTTTTTTTTTAAGCAGATTAAAGTGTCTCCACTAATCTCTGGTCACCGATCAGCTAAAGCAAGCCTATTTTACTCAAATAATCGAGTCGTGTTCTTGTAAAACAGGAGCCTTTAAGATTTGTGGTTGAAATGAAGATTCGGGTGAAGCAATCGACGATCGTGAAGCCAGCTGAGGAGACACCCACACACAGTCTATGGCTTTCAAATTTGGACCTGATACAAGTGAGACTTCACATGGGCATTCTCTATTTCTACAACCCTTGTTCCTCCTCCAATCTTCCCACCACTCAATCCCTTATCGATGCTCTCAGCAAGGTTCTTGTCCTCTTCTATCCTGTTGCTGGAAGGCTCCAAAAGGGTAATCTTTCTTTAATTCCCTATGGATGAAAGCATTCGGCTTTCTTTAATCGTTCTTATCAAACCCAAAATAGACATCTTTATCATTAAATGCTAATTTCTTTCTGCTTCATATGTTGTAGATACGAATGGGAGGTTGGAGGTTCGATGCAACGGAGAAGGAGTTTTGCTAGTGGAGGCTGAGACCGATTCTACTCTACAAGACATTGGCTTGCTTACTCAAAGTTTGGATCTTTCTCAGCTTATACCTACTCTTGACTACTCTGGAGACATCTCCTCTTTACCTCTTCTTCTCCTTCAGGTAACGTCTTTCATCTGCCTACTGAAAAAAAATGCTTTGTTAAATGTTGAAAACTATACAGAAACAGCTTTTTCTGAAATTATAGGTTCTGCAGAACAGTTTGTATACCTTTTAGGCGAATATTTTTCTGTCAAATGTCATGAATAGAATTGTTAGTTAACCGCTGATTAGAATTCTTGTTTATCATCATATTGTGTATAGACTATTAACATTTACATGGTGTCGATGAATTGGTATTTTACAAGGTTACATATTTCAAATGTGGATCTATCTGTATTGGGAATTCAGTACACCATACATTTGGGGCAGCTGCTTCTCTTTCGTTTTTCATGGAAGCATGGTCTAGAGCTGCTCGGGGACTTCCAATTAATCTTACTCCGTTCTTCGACCGTACTGTTCTTCGTGCACAAAACCCTCCCTCTCCAGTCTTTCCTCACTCTGAATACCAACCACCTCCCTTTCACAATCCTCCCGTGAAGTCCCTCGTTTACAGGTCAAATCTTGATTCTGACTCTGCAGTTGTCAGTCTCAAGCTCACACGTCTCCAACTGAAAGCTCTTAGAGCCAAGGCAGAGATTGCTGATAGTAAATTCAGCACATATGAACTCCTCGTGGCGCATATGTGGCGTTGTGCTTGCTTTGCTAATGAAGGTAATGAAATGATCTTGTTGGTAAAAATAACTATGTTTAAGCTAAAAGCCTAACACTTTGTTTTTCACCAACAGAATTAAGTGAAGAACACTCGACGAGGTTGCATATAATAATTGAAGGGAGGTCAAGACTATCACCGAAGCTTCCACAAGGATACATTGGGAACACACTCTTCCACGCTCGGCCTATATCACTGCTGAGTGATTTTCGCAGAAAGAGTTTGAGCACAACAGTGGAGAGAGTTCATGGAGAAATAAGGAAAATGGACAACGAGTACTTGAGATCAGCGGTTGATTACTTAGAGAGGCTTCCTGATCTCGATCAGCTGGTTCCTGGTGAAGGTAATCCGATCTTCAGCTGCGCAGCAAACTTCTGCATTGTTGGTCTACCCGTGCAGACCGTTTACGAATTGGATTTTGGATGGGGAAGGCCTTTTTACAAGAGAGCTTCACATTTCAATGAAGGTAAGGGCTTTGTAGGTAGGAGCTTAGACGAAGAAGGGAGCTTTGAGGTGTCCATGTGCTTAAAGAAGACTCAGCTTGGTAAGTTTCGGAAGCTCTTCTATGAGTTTCTCAATGTATCCGCACTGTGAGGCAATAATGTCACTTGTGTTTTTTACTCAAAGTCCCACATCGGTAACTTAAGTTGTTTCCGACAAGAGCGAAGTAGTATAAATAATGAGACCAGTGGACTCAACAATTGATATCTTTCTCGGCCTTTTCGCTAAGATCAAGTGTAGTATCTGTTCTTATCAGTTTAATATCTGATATGTGGGCCATCGGCTCACACGATATTAACTCTATTTTTTAAGGGAGAAAGCCATAGCTTGCTATCTGGCTTTCGCGAGTCGCCCATGCGTCGCCCATGCGTTGCCTGCACGGACTGGCTCAACCCGCCAATATAAAGTCCAATTTTAATAATTTTAGTGTGGGCCAAAATAACCAATTAGAATTTGATTACTCATATTCACACATTAACCTTATGAATTATTAAATCGTGAATGGGATAATCATCTTTAATATGTCGGCAAGGTCAAAGCATATAATCATTTTGAAAATATCTTTAATAGTCCGATAACTATTCGTCCGATTTTAAAAAAATAAAGAGCGCTTTGCACGTTTGTATGTCCCATTATCGGTTGGACTATCGATAAAATATTTGGTCGGCTTTAAGCTTATATTATTGGGGTCTTTCGTTGTCGATCTGAATTATCCGATTTTCCGCCAATTTCCCTTTTCCGGTGGTAATTCAAACGGAGATTCACCTAATCCCCAATTCCCACCGTCGCGTTAATTCGACGAACTCTTAATCTTGTCACCTCTTCCTGCTCCCCACATTGACGTGAAATCGACCGTAACGGCACCAAATTTGATTCCATTTACAGAGTTTTCATAAATCGGGAATTTGTGATCGGAGAATAGCAGAGAGAATGGTGGAGAGAACGATGAGTCTGGGGATTGGAGGCAACGGAGAAACCTCGGGGGTGAGAGAAACGATGTGGGCGCAGCAGGAGCTTCTTCAGAAAATCAGTCAGGAGCTTGACGCCGAGCGAGAAGCGTCTTCATCGGCTGCTTCCGAGGCCTTGTCGATGATTCTCCGGCTTCAGGGGGAGAAAGCAGCGCTGGAGATGGAGGCTAGTCAGTACAAGAGAATGGCGGAGGAGAAGATGACACACGCCGAGACTTCTCTCGCGCTCTTCGAAGATCTGATTTACCAGAAGGAAATGGAGATCGCATCTCTCGAATTTCAGGTCCAGGCTTACCGATGCAAATTACTCAGCGTCGGATGCTCCGATCCGGCCGTCAGCGAGAATCGGTTCCCGGAAAACCTCATCTTCTTCGGCGACACCTCTCGTGTGAATCAGAAGATGAAGATGAAGCGAAATCTCTCGGTAACTAAATTTCAATTTCAGAGCTTCATAACTGAAAAAAAAAAACTAATTCCATGGCTATATAAAGCTTTCTGTTTTAAAGCCAAAGTTGTATAATTTCTGTTGCAGAGCCCATTCGATGGCATGACGAGTGAGAGAAGACTGCTTCTCTCTGATAGTAGTGGTGAAAGCTTTGAGGAAAAGAAAGGTCTTGAGAATGCTTTATCACCTCGTGAAGACTTGAACGCGTATTGGGAACAGATCAGGAAGATAGATGAGCATGTTCGTGAGATCTCAGACTCGAGAGAGACTCCAAAGGAAACCAAGTTCCCTTTGCTTAGGCGTGAGTCTTTGTCGCATACATTGGTGTCACAGGTCAGCAATACAATCCTCGCGTCGGCCAAGAGTGACGTGAGTTCGATAATGGAGATGATGAAGAACCATGACAGACTCTCTGTTAAAGATTCATCTTCAGAGTCTCCGATTCGGTCTCCGAATGTGCAGGACATATTCGAGGTTCCAAAGACGAAGGAGAGCCTTACGATTATCTCCGAAGAGGAAGAGGAACTTGAAGAACGAAATGTAAGTCATCACTAACTTTTGCTGGAGTAAATTTCGATCAAAAGTACTAAATTTGTAGAAAGAATTTACAGGTTAGAGGGAAGATGTTGAGTAGTAATTACGAAAGGAAAGTGAGTAGGCCGCCGAGAGATACGAGCATCAAGTCTGAACATATGAGCTTGCTAAAGGAGATTCGAGAGCAGCTCAATGTAATGCAGTCAGAGATGAGAAGCTTGAGATCAGAACTGCATCAAACTCAAGTTACTCAACATATCTCTCATCAGGAGGAGGATCGAGCACTTAACTCAATTCAAGAGGTAATCAATCACTGTTTGTTACTTGCGGAATGATATTCGAAACTAAAAACATGTGTTTTTTGTTTCTTGAACAGGCAATGATTCACTTTTGGCTTTAGAAGCTACCATGCGGCGTTGTTCTTAGTGTCACCATTTGTAAGTTACTTAACCTTTCAAGAGGTTTGAAGGGATGTAAAAAAAAGAAAAACTGATAGATTTCAGAGTGAATCTCTGGTCTTTGTATGTAACTCCATTGGCATTGTGACTTGTGAGAACAAAATCTTGAAAATCTCTCCCTGATCTACATGACTATGAGTCATTTGAATGGTACTCAGTAGAAGAACCAAATAAGATATAGGATGTATAGGTTTCACTCAGTCTGAGGAGCTGACGCAGAAGATGCATGATGGGTTAGAAGAATGGTTATCAAGATCAAGAGTGGTGCCTCTCAAACACTTGAAGTGATAGACATGACCACAAGACAGCACGCACGCCTCTTGTAAGCTGCGCAACGAAGCTCCAGGCCGCTCTGGATCCGAGGCTAGATCTCCTTGGCATAAGTTGCACGAGTGTCCTACTTTCTCCGCATCAAACACCTTGTCAAGCTCTGCCAAAAAAATCAAAACTTCACTCATAAACGATTTTTTTTAATCTAAAGTGTTTGGATCAGATGATGATGATGATAATTACCATCGTGAATGCGCAAAGAGGGATCTTGGGTGTTGTTGGTTCTAGTGACCATGAGAAGCTGTTGTATTTCTTTGGAGAGGTTTAGAAGATCAGCTGAAGCTGAAGCGGATGGTCCTGACGCTTTTAGCTCGGAAGTGACTTTCTCGATTCTCTCTTGAAGGTTTGAGATCATCTCCTTCGTTTTCTTCAGGCTTTCTCCATCGTCGCTTTCTTTCGAGTCCATGTTCGCGAAAGATGACGAAAACTTCTGTAATTCCAAGTCGGGACAAACAAGAAAATAAAATAATAAGCAAAGTCAATCTTTTGTTGACTTATAAACCCCGAGAAGCTATTTCTTCGTTAACCTTGACTTCGAAACTTGTGTACGAAGATATTAGGTTTTACAAAGCAAGTGCAATTAGGGTTTAACCAGGGATTGAAGCGTCAGCCATTGAAACAAAACTCGAAGCTATCGATCGTCACGAAATTCCAAACGAGTGGTTATAGTTTACGATTCATTAAAATTTCAAAATCAAACAAAAGAAGAGGAACTAAGGGAGCCTGAGAAATCGAAGAAGCTATCACCTGTGTGTATCGACGTTGCAGTGTCAAACGAGAGGGATTTTAGATTTCCATGTGTTTCTGTTTGCTCTGGAGTTTCGAGTGTTTGCTTTAAAAGTATATTTAAACAAGCGATAATCACGAACTTGGCTTATATATCACAGATAATAAGAATTTAATAAGAAATTACTGGATTACAAATCGAAAATAACGAAGAAGTTAAGAGTAGTTGTAATCGAAGCTTCCAAGAGTTATATATACATTGCTTTGATTATAGAAGGAAAATAATTTTTTTTTTTTGGTAAGGCAACGGGAGAAAAATCTCCCGTAATTTATTAAGGACAAAGAGTTACTACACGATTACATCTCTGACGTGTAGTCCCAATCTCATCTTCCCATCGGATCGACTCAAGCGACGATGGAACAAAACCAAACAAGTGGAAACTTAGAGGCATCCAAAAGGCGAGGTTAGCCAACCCGTCTGTGAGATGGTTAGCGTGAATCTTGTATTCCCTTCGTCAAAAACCCATCACCAATTCTGAATCCACTTCCAAATCCAGCTTTGGTATCTTTTTCTCCCACGCCATCACCAAACCATGGTAGACTCCCCACAATTCCGCTAGAGGTGCAGAACATCTACCAATATTCAGAGCGAAACCTCCACACCACTGCTCATTACCATTTCTGATCTAGTAAATAAATTTAATTTCGACTAGATTTGCTCCCAAAAAAATTGCTCAAAAATAAAAATTCTAGTAAATTTGAAAAAAAATGGCAGGAAATCAAACTTATGCCCAATGTTTTGAACTTAATTTGGGTTAAGAGCTCGTCTCAAATTGGAACTTCTTTTAGTGAAATAAAACTGGAAGCATATTATAACCAAAAATTAAATGTAAATCATTATTATAATAGATAGATTGAGCATGTTACTCTCATTTATTTTTGATTATATTTCCGTCCATCAAGTTCAGGATCCTATTGGATTTGATTTAACAGGGAGAAGAGGCTACAAAGGTTGTATTTGTTCTGGTTTCATTAGTTACAACTTCCAGAATCCAAACAAGCTTGTCAACAATCACAACATGACGACCCAATAATTTAACTTTCAAACTATATATGAACCATTATTTTCACTGATGCACTTGATTGCATCTTCATCAAGGTTGAGACAGCCCGGTTCAAAGAGGACCCGGTAAAGTTCCACTCTCCTGCCTCCCTCTGCTCGTTCCACTTCTCAACATTCATTGTTAGATGAGTCAAAATATAGCACTGTGATTGGTGGTGCATCACATTAAACCGCTCTTTGATACAATGGTTTAATGTCCAAACAAAAAGGAACCGTACCCATGAGGTTATACTTGGCAAACCGCAAACCTTTAGCAGTCATTAGACTCGTCGCCCTTTGGAAATGTACATATGCAAAATGGTCTCTGATGTTTACAAAAGTGAAGATGACATAAGGACTATAAGAAAGATAAGCTTATTGAGCAAAGAGATACATGTGGAACTCAGATGTACCGAGTAAAGCAGTGACCGGTTTGGTTGTTGTAGAGAACCGGAAATCAGCTGGCGCAGTTTTCATTTCAGTCTTATTCAGTAGAAAAACGTCAAACACTAGTGTGTTAAAATTCATATCAGCGTCGATTAGGGAAATCATATGACACTTTGACTTTGCCTTTGGCCAAATCTCATGTCTCTCCGGTTCGACCGATAACGGCGAGACCGAATTAGCCATTCTAGTTGTACTTTATTGGTCTTTCATTGGCCTCCAATTTCATTATTTTTCAAAAAGAATTATTTAATCGGATTATTAGGTTGATATATAATCAAACCTCACAAAAATGAAAAAAAAAAACTAATTTAGACAAGCAATTTTTATTTATTTATATTAAATTAATAATATGTAAGGAACGACTAGTTCGGTTGTCCAAAAATAGTAACAAAAAACAATACTATTTTCCTCCTATTTCGTAGATTAGAAGTACATACAGTATTTTGGGATTTTATTTTATGCTTCACTTACATATATCCATCAATCTCGATTTGTAATATCCCGCATTTTTGGTTTATGATCTCCATGAATACAGTATGTTTGACCTTTCTAATAAAATCATGCAATCTAAATTTTACACACACAAAGCGAGAACTAAACACTTTTGGATAATTGAGATTTTAGATAAATCGAGTTTATAATATAAAAAAGACCATAAAGGGTTTGAACATAACACAATCATCGGACAGGATCTGCTTGTACTTAATCAAACTGTCCTGATTTCTCTCCAACTTAAATTTGACTCTGTAAAACCCACCACACACTCACTCACTCACACACCTATACTTATCATCTTTCTCCTTTATATTTATACATTCCTCATATCAAACTAAACACCTCCATAGAGAGCTTTTCTTTTACCTTCTTCATGGCTGATAATGTACAAGTTGTACCCGTTGAAGAACCAACCATAACAGCCACCGCAGCCGCGATAACGACTGAAAGCTCCGACAAAATGGAGTCACAGAGCGATAAGCCACCCGTCGGAACGTTGATTACAATTGTGAACCTTTTCGCCGCCGGTGTACTTCCGATCTTCACCTTCGTTCTCTCCCTTACACTCCTCGGCTACGCCGTGTGGCTCCTTTACATGCGTAGCTACGACTGCGAAGATATTCTAGGTCTGCCACGTGTCCAGACGCTAGCCAGCGTCGGTCTTCTCGCCGTGTTCGTCGTAAGCAACGTGGCTCTATTTATCCGACGGAAGTTTCCGATGCCGGCACTCGTGGTGATGGTCGTGATTCTTTTGCTGATGTTGTTCATCGGTTTGGCGTACGCCGGAGTCAACGAGATGCAAACTCGGCGGTTTCCGGCGACGTGGTCGTGGTTTAAGCTCAAAGTTACGGATGATGTGAATTGGAACAACATCAAATCGTGTATATACGATAAAGGAGCCTGCAACGAGCTCGTCTACGGATCTCCACTAGATAAACCTTATAATAGAAGAAAAATGCCACCAATCAAGGTTTGATCATTTTATTAGATATCGATCAAGAAATGAAAGTTTTAAATACGTGTATCTCACGTTTTGCCAAAAACATATTTTACAAGAGTTTCAAATACTTTGAGACGATATTGTTTTGATTTTATTTGTTGTTGTTTTTGCAGAATGGATGTTGTATGCCGCCGGAGACATGTAACATGGATGCGATAAACGCGACGTTTTGGTATAGAAGAAGAGACGAGGGACCACCGGTGGAGACGGAGATGATGTACGGTGGGATGGTCGGAAGGATGAGCGACTGTGAGCTTTGGAGGAACGATTGGAGCGTGTTGTGCTATGATTGTAGGTCTTGCAAGTTCGGATTCGTGAGATCCGTGAGGAGGAAATGGTGGCAGCTCGGTATCTTCTTGATAGTCATCTCCATTCTTCTTCTCATCTCTCATCTCTTTATCTTCTTGGCCACCTTTTGGGAACGATTCAATGGTTAAAAATATCATGAGAGTCTTTCTAATTAGGAGAGTTTCTTTTTTTTCTTTTGTGGTAAAATAATCTCTTTCTTCTGCATCCATTTTAGTACTCAAGCAGATCTATCTCTTTGTCTCTTTTGTTATCGTCGGACTTTGGTCGGTTTAATGTAGAGAATGTTTTTGTAATAAAGTTAAGTCAGTTAGTTTGATTATAATAGTTTTGACCGCTCCGGTTATGTTCCTTTCAACAACTTTTTAGTCCATGGTTTGATCTTTAAAGCAATGGACTTTCAAGGTTAGAACATCAAGATCTTTATATGACCTACTCTTCAACTCTCAACTAATAATGTTTAATCTGCCATGACCAATCAAATCAAATGTAACAGAGGACAGCAACATTGAAGACACTTTGTTCCTCTGATGATAGTCCTATTATATCTACCAAATGAGGAGCCATAATTAAACCTTTGTCGAATTTTCTTGGGAATTAGGTGCATATATTTGATAAATATAAGAGGAAAAACTAAAAGAGTAATACATCTTTGATAAAAAAAAAAAGGTAATACAGTAACAACATAAGGTGAAATTCTACAATTTTTGTTTCCCCTGCTTCTGCTTGCATCCTTCACCTGTACAAAGAATGGCCAATCTTGGGAGAGTCATATCGAAAGTGTCTCTCTCTCACTCAGTTTGTGAGTGAAGAAACAGGGCTAAGGCCGTGTCTCATGGCTGCTTCCCACACCAGATCGATACGGTCAACGTCAATGGCTCCAACCTCATGATGCTTCCAGCCTTCAAGCATGTGAACCACTCCTCCCGCGTGGCAAGCATGCACCACCCCTCTCTCCATCGTGTACTTCAAAAACACACAATACATAGAGTTTAGTCTGGTGTGACCGATTTGCTATATAAAACACATAAACAAGTTCTTGATTGTTAACCAAGAAAAGAAGAATTCTTTATACCTCGCAGGTTCCAAGGCCTTGAACATCTTTAGGAAGCCTCATAGCTGCAAGATCACCATAAGTGCAGTTACGTCTAAAGCTGAGGATCGGTGGCACCACAAACTGATGGAAATGCGTCCCTGCAGGAGCCCAGCTCTGCTCCCTCGGCGTTAACCATTTCCCAACGATCCAAGTCTGTGTATATTTGCATATATGTTCAAGATTCTCCTCCAATGCCAAACAAAATGAAAATCTAGTTAAAGATCATTACAATACCTTGCAGTTCTGTGCAGCGTTGTACTTGGTCACTTGTACAAGGTAGTTTTGGAACTCAACAGGAGCTTCTTTCTGAATCTTTTGGAACCTTTCTATCGATAATGTCAACATCTGTCAATTGTCACAAACATACAAAATTGTCAGCCTTTTGGGACTCTATAGTAAACTGTATCTTTGAGACAAATAGTTTGTTAAGGATTAGTTAGCCAAAACTTACAAGAACTCTCACTCCTCGACGACAGAGATGGAGAGCGATGGCTCTTCCTAGCTTAGAAGTGGCTCCTGTCAAGAAAACCTCTTTCACGTCTTTTGGTATTTCATGGAGAATCACTGCAGCTGTTAAAGTGTTCCCATGGACCACACGAACTCTAAGGTCAGGATGCTTGTTGACAAACAGTGTCCCACCGCCATTTAAAGCTTCGTTCTGATCCAAGACCCAAAACAAAAAATAACCCTTTTAGTGACTTGAGTCTAAATAAATCACACGCACAAAAGTTTGAGACTTTTTGGAGATTACAAACCTTGTTCAGTGCAGCCAAGCTTATAACTTTAACACCAATCTTGTCAGCCCTCAGAATCGCACTCTCTATATGATTATTAATGCCTTGTGTAGCAAACGGTAAGAAGTACTGCAAAAACAAACAAAAAGAGGAAAAGACTATCAAATGCTCTGTTCTCTCTGTTTTCAAGTGCAGAAAATTTGGAAAAATAGAGGCTTTACTTGGAATCCAAGCCTGGGAACTGCCCAAGTCTGGCAAAGATTGCCCCTGAGCTTGTAGAAGGTGAAAAGAAAGTTCTTTGACCAAGCCCACATTCCCAACGTGACCATTAACGTGAAAGGCCACATGGGCAGCAAGAAGATCCTCGTCGTGTATGGCATTGAAGCAAACGATCTGAACACGAACGGTGCGTGCATCGCCGACATCACATCTACCCCATGAGCCAAGAACACGAACTCCGGCACTCTCTTCCGTTCTTCCCCTGCACACGGAGGAGATCAGTTCCGGTTAAAGAAAAAAACTGTAATTTTGAGAATGAGTGAGGGCTACTAATGTCATTTCAAGTTACTTTGGCTCTACAGGTTTGACTTGTACCATATCATATAAAAGTCTCCACCCACTTTGGCAGGTACAAGTACATTACTCTACACACTACACGTAGTAGTAATAATATCTTTTCATAAATTTGCATTAACTGTTTTGGTATTTATTCCTTACTAATTTATAGCAATGCCTAAAATTTATTCAACTAGTAGTAAATCGGTTCGTGTGATCAGGTTTTGTGTTAATTTAACTATATTACCTGCACCCACACGAATCTTCTTTTGGAGTTCCCACGAGTTTGGGTTTAGTGTGTTGCCCAAAACATCAAAGAGAGGCATAAATAGACAAAAGTTGGTCCCCATCTCTTCATGATGCAGACTATGGTACCTGCGTTATTCCAACAACAAAATCAACTTTAAAATATCTCACAAGCTTTGTAAATTACTTCCTATAGACATCTTTGACAGAAAGACGGATACTTGGCAAAATTTGCTTCTTAAAGTAAAAGATGACAAAGTCACGTTTGTGTGTCCCAAATTCAATGAATAAAGTTGGAGCCTTTATTACAAGACCTGTTGAGTGTATGTAGCCCATAGATCTGACTAATATCCCAAAAACGGCAAAAAGAAATTGACATGTGAAAACTTTGCAGTAAGTTAAACGTCAACAAACGTACGTTGGAGTGTAGATGAGATATCTTAAGACAGGAAGAGTCTCGAATAGCTTGTGAGAGAAGATCTCAACGTTGCAGTGTCCTAAACACCTCATGAAGTCAAACATTAGAGCGTATCCGTAGATCAAGCTTATTGATCCAACACCTAACAAGCAAGAACCAATCAAAGGAACTCCGGCTATGACGCAGAGGATAAGATTTTCCAAAAACGTTGCATTGGAAGCTGCACCAAACAGATCAAACATGTTATTACAAAAGAAAAAAAAAACAGATTTTTTGAGTTGGGTTATTAGTGAAATTTATTTACCAGTCATGGGATGTGGAACAGGAGATGCGTGGTGGAAGGAATGGTAATGCGTGAAGAAGTAGTTGCTACGATGGAAAGATCGATGAAGAAAGTAGTATAAAGGCTCTGAGAAAGTCACATGTAGCACAATTAATGCGACGAGACCTTTCGTGTTCCACAGAGGAACACTGTTCATCATCATCAATGGTGGAGACATGTAGCAGATCATGCTCGCTATTATTGCTTGCAGGAGTATGTAATTGTCCCTGAAACAAAAACCCACAGATCAAAATCTTACCTTTGATGGTTTTTCAGGATACCCAAAACAGAGGAAACAGAGGAAATGGGGAAAAGTTACCAGTGCCATTCGTGATCAATCTGCTTAAAGTCGACACCATTAGGGTTAATCCTTAGAGTTCGATTCGCGAAAAGCATGGTGTTGTAAGTGCTCCAGTTGACATGAAGGAATCCTTTGAGGCCACATATGATGAGAATATGAAGACACCAAAGAGCTCTCGAGCTATCTTCTTCGTATGCCCAAGAGTACACTACTTGTGCAGCTAATGGAGCGTAGAGAAGATACTTCACAAAATAGAAAACAGAGAACCCATTAGAGAGAAAGAAACAAAAGACAAACCTTTTCTAAAACTCAGATCCAAATTGACTTGACAGAGAAAGCAAAGCAAAAAAAAGCACAAACCTTGAGATTGCCAAGGTTTCCCCAAGGCCAAGCTGATAAAGCAGCAACCATTCTTCTTCTTCTTCTTATCTAAAATCCTTATCGGAATTCGAGATGTCCTTCTTCTTTATATGAGTGGATCTCTTTCTCTCTCTTATCTTATTGGTCTAAGAACCTTAAAGATTTCTCCAGTTATCAAGCAATCCAAGAGAAGATGTTGCTTCTTTCTTGTGAAAGTCAAAGAGAAGAGAGAGATTTAACGATAGTGTTATCTTTAATCTCAAGAAAGAGAATGGGGAATTTTTAGTTGAGATTTTAGTTCGTTGAAAGAATTAAAACCTCAGAGAGTTATAAAGCCTTGTTCTGTTTATCTGACATTATTGGGAGCCTGGAGCTCTGTTTACTTATATAAGCTTTTGAAAAGGAGAGCCAACTAGACCCAAATGTATTACTGTTATTTATCTCTACTAGGAAATTCAAATATTTTTTATATAGAACTGAAGATTTTTAAAGAAAATTGTTTTTTTTAACTCATATACTGTATTGAGAAACAATGAAATCATTTTTCGCCTGGAAATCAATCTTTCACAGCAATGAAAATCTGGCTGTATTCATTCAGTAACATTTAATTTTGACTCTGTTCAATCGAACTACATACGTATACTAAAATGTGAAGTTAATATCAATATTTGTTTTGGTGAATAGTACTGATGCTTTCCCTAGGAGCTTTTAATTTGGAGCTTTTGTCCCCACCAAAAAATATCGGAGAAAAACTTAACTATTTTCCATTTTTATCAAAAATTGCAAATCTTTTATCAAAATTATATATCCAACTTATAGAAATCTCACAAAACGAGTTTTCATTTGGTCAACTTAAATTGGAAATAACACCAGATAACTTGGAAAACACACCAAAAGAAAGCGATTTCGACTAAATTAGCAAGTCCGGTATAGGCTAGAACAAGAACAAAAGTTACCAAAATCAACGGAAACTATAAATATATTATTAATTGTTTTCTTAGTGTGAATGGCTAAATCAATAAAAAGCATACTTATAGTTATAACCCAAAGGTCCCAAACAGATATTATTACTTGATAACCACATCGAGATTTAATTTAAATTAGTTTAACGACGTATAAGTATAACCAAATTGATGCAACGGATACAGATCTCACAGCTGGACTCTCTCTCACACACATTTAATGTGCGGTTTACAGTTGAAGCAGCGATGGTTACACTTCTTGGTGGCTTCTCCATATACTCTTATCATTTTGTCCAATTTTTTACATTTAATTTGTCCTTTTCTTCACATCTTTTTAAAACAACTCTATAAGTTTTTATAAGTATATTTTGTTTGGTTTCAAATCACAAATTAATCCGCATTCATTTCACGTCGGGTACAAGACCGGTACTGTACAAATGTATAGGGAATAGGGTTAAAGCTTCATATTATATACAGTATAACTATATGCCATGAACAAAACAAACACATTTAAATTAAAGGTTGGTCAAAATGTATATTATAAGCTATAATGTCAGCATCTCTATTGAATGCCTTCAGCAAAATTCAGCTAATAGTGATTAGTTTTCTTTGTGCTAGTCGCTAATCTCCATGTTCTTGCTATTTTGCGTCTAGTTGGATGTTAATTTCAACTATGAATGAATGCGTAGAACAAATACACACACTAGAAACGTGTATTACTTACTCAGTGATTAATGAAAATTGAAACGTTAATAAGAAAAAAAGGTAGCTATTCCTAGTATTTAAGGAAACAGGTTTTAATAATTTTACAGAAAATCAATCAAAACAACAAATATTCACACATGGCCTGAATAGAAATCACAACTATTCATATGGATGATTTATTTTGTCTCTAGTCGAACAATGGAGTTGTATTTATATGAAAAAAAAAATATATATATATTATAAATAAGTATCATTTAAAAAAGAAATGTTCTGTAGTGGTCAATACCCAATAGTGTATTTATGATGCATGCATAATTAAATTATGCATATATGAGTTTGTTGAATCTGTTGAAACACACAACGAGCACATGTATTTTACTGGGATAGACAGGAAGATGGAATCTCGAAAGAACATATTTGAACGTGCTTAATTTAAACTTTTGTTGTTGTTGTTGTTGTAAGTTTAGGCTTTTCTACAAAACCACACAAGTTACAAAAAAACAGGTGTGTAAACCCCCAAAGCAGGAGAGTACATTTGGTAAAATTGGAGATATGGGTGAAACCAATAAAAAGATACGTACCATCTTGTGGATCTTCGTTTTTTGGACATCAAGTAGATTTTGGCCGGCTCTTAATTGATATCATATCACAAGATTCACAACAAACTCCAATTGATAAAAGAGAAAGGTCATAACTCATAACAGGAGGAACATAACTCAAAACAGGAGGAAAAACCCCCTAAAATAACACCTTTCAAACTTTATTTTAGATTTCACGCAAATTTGTTTTTAAATAACTTTGTTAACACACATATATAGTAATAATAAAATATTTGTTTTCTTTAAGTCTAGGAATAATCAGAAAGATATGTTGATAAAGTATACAATTTTGCTAAACCTAAAACATTTGTATGGTGTGGAATTAATGTTCTAGTATCAAGTATAAGGTTTGACTATCAAAATATGCAATTTATTGCAAAACATACAAAGGTTTCAACTTTAGCCATCCTCCATAATCTCATGTACCTATGTATCGTGATTTGTGCGTCAGAGTGTGCCCTGGCCCATACGTTCCAGCGTGGTATGAGTTTTAGCCATCGGTTATTTGTTCACTGCGGTTACGTATGTTAGAGTATTTTTTGGTTTTCCTGATCAAGATTTAAGGGTAAGTGTTGGCAAACAAAGCTATTAGTTGAATCTTGTGATCGATTGGCTGGTCCGTATTGTGGTTTGCTTCGATCGGTTTATCTTTTCGATCGGCGATACTCTTTTGATTTTAATTCGCTTGACCGCTGGATTATGCAAATTTTATAGCTAAATACTTGAAAATTGTGGATGCAAGATTTGATAATCGTTTATAGTATGTTACTTTATTTATATATATTATGATTGATGATAATGTAAGCAGACCAACAATGTACAAATTGGATTCTACTATTCCAAATAAGCAAAATAAAAGAGCAGAGGTACATTTGCAATCAATTTGTATACTCTATACTGTATAAGGTTAGTTAGCCAGCCCAGATTTCGACTTGAGCGACTTTTATTTAGTTGGTTAGGAATATACACGTCAATTCATATAGTACTAACTTTTTCGTAGCCTCAAACTGTTTTTTTCTTTTTCTACATTGGTCTTAAAATCATTTTGAAAAAGAACAAAATATGTCACCTACACATTGACGAAACACGATTATAATATTAAATCACATTTATTAGTCGGTTCGAGTCGATTGCAAAATCACCCAACATCCATATTCCTATGTACATTAGCGATTAGCCTAACCTAAGAGACAACAAATCCCTTTTCTATTCCCACTTGGTTTAATTTATTGTTTATATGACTAACCGTAGTGAAGTCATTTCTTAACTATTTTCAATTGTTGTTCGGTTTTTTTAATTCGCGTCGATAATTTCTGTTTAAACTTTAAATACCATCTTCATTTAATTACATCAATGATTAACGCCAATTATTTGTCTTCTAAGTACATGTTACTAACAGATCTCAAAATTTATAAAAATGAAACCACAGACAGAGAGAAGTATATATGAGCGTAGTTTCCTCATACGTATAACGAAATAAAGTAAATCATTATATTGAGAATATCTTTCTCTACGTCAATCATATTATTTTTTTTTCCCGTTGTCAACAATCATATGTCTCTTCTTTAAATCTGAAAACATAGTTATGTAGTACTAGTATCGATGATCGGTGTCAAATATTCTTATCCTTTATCTTACCGATTGATAACAGTTTTGAACTTTTGAATACATTGAAATTGAATCCTCATGTCCACACGTAAAAATAGTATATATGGGGTTGGTTTCCTCATAAATATGTTTAAATTGACACTTAACAAAATCAGAAATAGTTTATCTTCAACTCGAAACTTTATATTTTCAGAATGTGGATTCATATTAAAATAGATAAGTGTGATCATATTCGTCTGGATGACAAAAAACGTCATATGATAAATATTTTTGGCCCCACACACATTGAATTTATAACCTGTTTGTGATTGGCACGAAAAGTATGGTGCCTCTCCTTATCTTTGGTTTGTTTTTCTTATTGACTTCATAACCAATTTCGAATATAATTTTTTAAAAAGACGATGCCATATATAGTGACTAAATTACTCATGAGGCGATTAGCCCCGACCAATTATTTGTTTCGTTATTCTTTTGCATAAATTCTAAAATAGACAAACAAATCTTTGTGTAATTGTTGGTTAACCGGTTATGAAAACGTGCAGAAATAAGTAGAGTGTTATGTACTTATGTCGGACCGAGAGATTTACGGACAAGCTTTAACAGACAAAAAAAAAGAGAATTACCACCAGATGTCTGTATAAAGGGATAAATGTTTTACGTTTTGCATGCTACATGCGAAGGAAGCAAACGAAACTCAGTGAAGCGACCTCCAACGTGACAAAAAAAAACAAGAAGCAAACTCTAAACAATGGGAGAAGACCAGTGACTCAATGTGTCTTATGTAAGCATTCGTGTTAGCCTTGAGATTTAAAATCTAATAACTAATAATTCAAATTCTTGTATAATTATGTTTGATATTTTGCGTGGTGCATGCAAAGGAAGCAAACGAAACTCAATAAAGCAAGCTATAATCGTGAGAAAGAAAAAAAAAAAGAAGCAAACTCTAATCAATGGGAGAAGACCGATGACTCAATGTGTCTTGTGTAATTAAGTGTTTGCGTTAAGCGTTAGCCTTGACATTAACATTTGGAACCAAAAATAGTAGTTAAAAAAGAAAGAAAAGTACATGCATCCCTTAAATGAGGAATTAGGAGAAGAAGAATGGAGCCTATGAGTTTCGAGCTCCCCAACTAGCAACTACTATCTGCCGTTTTTATTTGATGGGGATTGTGACTTA